TCGAGCGACCGTCTCTCTGCTTCTTCCTAGTATCCTTACCTGCCGAAGTCGCGGAACACAGCCACTTCTGTTGCAATGTATTGGCAAATGCGAGCCATATTTATTTTTTACTTATAATGCCTGCTCCCGTGCTCGGTCATTGATGCACCGCCCGGTCTGGCCGATGTATACCTTTTCACAAGTCAGTGGGATTTCGTAGACCACACCCACTGTGTAGTCCACGTAAGGGGTGACGTGTTTCTTATCACACGGTGTTTTTGCCTTCTCATTAGAAATGCGGGCGCACAACCCAGCCAACTTCTTTGGGGGAGAGAACACAACGGGAACATCGTACTTGCTTGCAACTTTCTTCAGATCGTGGGCAACCATGTGTATGTACGGAATAACTTCTGATATTTTTGTTCTCTGCCTCGTTGGGACCTTTCTTTTCAACCCCTTCATTTTTTGTAGGGCGGTCTCCGCCACAGAAACAAAGACAGAACACGGGAAGCCAGCCATTTCCAGTCTAGAAAATTGATATTTAAAACTAGCATCCGTCTGAAGGTCACAAGACTTCAGTTTCGGACGGCGAGGAGTCTTCAATGGGCTCAAAAAAACGTTCCATCAGGGACTGGCAATGGTACCTTCCCTGACATCCTGTTTGTGTGACGAAGGATGCGAAAAGACTTCGTCCTCTAAATAAATTCGATGTCACCCTAAATCCCACCAAAACGTCACCACGCCCCAGTTCAATAAATGCCCCTGTCAACATTGATCACATGACTTCACGGTGGAATGAACTGGTATTCTTTATCTGTAGGTGTGGCCTTGAATATGAAACTACCTCACTGCTGTTTGAAAGGACAATAAGTACTTTCGTTGTAGGTTACCTCGTTGAAGATCGTACAGGCAGTATCATTTGTAATTTTTGAGAATAGTGGACCACCTGAAGCAGGAACACCTGTCTTATCGTCTGTTGCGGTTGAAAAAAACGGTGTGGTGGCATCCCTGTTGCGAACGTCCTTTCTGCCGACCCTCCGCCACCGGCGCATGAATCGCGGTCCTCAAGTCTCGCCTAGCATCATCCAAACAGAGACCTCGTGGATTGCTACCTGATATTGCCGGCACAGGTACGAGCTCTCCGAGAAACAGCGCGCTCGAGACAAGTCGCAGGTTTAGTACGACGAAGTCTGCGTCGGCACCGCGAGGCCACGTCTGGCCTCCTTCCTGGGTTTCGGATCACCAGGGCAGCGGGTCACGTTCACATCGACTGATGACGTACCATTGAGCCGTGCAATATTACGGGCGCAGCCACAGACGCATTCCAATATGTGTTGAACTTCAATGCGTGAGTCATCCTACTATTTCAAATTAACCACCGCCAGGCTCGTGCTGCAACGGACTGTGTCTCAGCTTTGCCGGCTGGGTGTACTATGTACGCTAAGGCAAGAGAGACGGTTAGCAGCAAGTATTGGATGCCAGGAAACAATGACTCAAGAAATCCCTACATAAGGACCTGCGGCAGAAGACGCTCCGACTCCACTCCTGGCACGTCACCTGGTTCGAGTCCCCGACTGCGCAACACTTCTCAGAAGAGAAAAGAGGACGCATAGAAAAATAGTTTGGAGAATCGAAAGGACCCTTGGTCAGCATAGCAACAATGCCCCAGTATCCCCTAAACTTAGAAGAATGGATAGTTGGGCGCGTTGGTGGGAATTCATCTTGGGACACAGCGCGAACAGACGAGGACGAAGAAGAAACACACGGGACGAGCGCTGACTATCAACGGAATTATTTTAATAGGAAAACACATGAACACGACCATTCATATTCTGCAGTTCACGCAGACGGGGGGTGAACTGAAAAATATGAATGGTCGTGTTAATGTGTTTTCCTATTAAAATAATTCAGTTGATAGTCAGCGCTCGTCCCGTGTGTTTCTTCTTCGTCCACGTCTGTTGTTCGCGCTGTGTCCCAAGATAAATCCCCTAAACCTAGTGCCCTCAAAAAAAAAAAAAAAAAAAAAATGTGTTTAAACTTTCTTTTTTTTAGGGAAGGGGGAGGGGGGGGGGGGGAGTGTTACTCAAGAAATGTTACGGAATACATTTCATCCTGATTGTATGGCGCTACAAAGAAACATTCCAGATGTATTTCGATACAGGAATACAGATACTGGCGAGAAAAAAACGTATCGCGATACAGAAATATAGATACAAAATGTACTTCTGAAATACAATCGCGATACATTTTTATATCGCGATACTGTTCAACCCTGGCTCAATGTTGGCTACGCCCACGCCGCAGCCTTGACTACGCTGTTGATAGACAGCCGATTTCGGCAACTTGGTGAGTTGCAAAGCTTGCCGGACCGTTTAAAGGGGCACTGACACGTCAAAATCATATTGTTTTTTTTTTTTTTTTTTTTTTTATCCAAAACGATTGAAAACGCTGCCTAGATGTTACGCTCAGAATTGGAAACTTGGGAATTCAGTATTTTGGAAGTCAAAATACAATTTCCAAATGCCGAATTTGAAGTTCCCGTGCGATCCGCGCCAGTGCAGTGATGTGAAATATTGAGCCATCCTGCGAGTAGAGTTTCTCAGACGCCTCCGAACCGCCGCCACCCGAAGTGTCGTGTTTGCCGGCGTCCCGCGAACAATCGGTTTCCTCCGTGCGTGCAGAATATACTTCACTTTCGGGTTTGGAGTTATTTTTTGGTCCTTTCAGCGATCCCAAATTCTTTGAGACGATGTGAGGTAGAAAAGAATATGTAGATGGCCTTTTGTGAGTGAGGGCCACGTCGCGCCGGTTTTGCGTGAAAGGCTGCCTCGGCAGAGTCACAACCGAAACTGCGATACACAGACACCATATTGTTTTGACCGTTTGACGATTTCCTTTTTGAAGTCTGAGAGGTCGTCGAGCACCTAGAAAAGACCAATTCGTCCGATTCCGCGATTCACCGATCATCATCTGCTACTGCTTTGCAAGGAGGATAGAAGGTTAGGAGAGGGCATGCCGTCGGCCGCGTAGCCTCCACAAGCCATTCTCCCTTGATGCCTCGCCTCTTTCTCATTTTCCTCCTTACTCTCCTCACTTATTAGGCCAACGTGACCACATCACATGACAGTAGCTAGCCTTCGTCTAGCCTTCGATCTGATAAAACCTACCGGACGGAGCGCGCGCAAGCCTGCAAGGGATCCTTCTACAATCAACCATCCATCTCACACGTGACATGTCACGCGCACCAATCGCCAGAGAGATCTACGGTCACGTTGGCCACAACATCGTTTAAACTTTTTATGACTAGGCTTCACCAATATTGCAACGTGCCCCCTCCTCGTACTTATAACCTCCTTGGCTACATGCTTCGAGCGCCGCCATGTTTTCTGAGGGAGGATAAAAAGCCAGGGAGCGACAGCACACCGGACTCCAATTTTCGGTATTTAAAAAAATAAGGGCCGTAGTGCGTTCGCAATTTCGTTAGAAAACATATTTTAGGAATGCTGTTATTAAATGTTATAGGAATGTCGCTTACAAAGCTTCTAAATTTCATATTTGGCGTCACAACTCAAAAGAAGCTAAGAGGTGAGAAGCGAAACAAAAGCGAAAAAAAAAGCAAAAAAAAAAAACGCTTGGGACGATTTTTATGCTATTTTTTGTGTGTTTATGATTACACCCTGCATCGTTAAAAAAAAAAAAAGAAGATTTTTGCGTGGGTAAGTCAGAACTGCGTCGTAATATTTGACGCTGGCCTTACTGCATTGTTTTTTTTTTCTTTTTTCTTCTCAAAAACAAAAAAATGAAGCGGAGATGTTTTGGAACTTCATGTAGGAACACTACTTGTACGAAGTGTAGTAGCCATGGACCATATGGATGTTGCTAAAGGCAAATAAGATCACAAAATTACCTCGACTCCGTGAGTGAAAATGTTCTGTCTCCCATAACCCTTTTCTTTACAGTTGCGTCCCCAATGTTACGAGAGGAAAACTCAATTGTTTGTGTGAATTACGTGGATGCAGCTCTAAACAATGTTCAGAGCATAGGAACAGAGTAAAGAAAGGGAAGAAAGAAAGACGTTCACAAATTTCTGTAACGCTAAATTAGAGCGCAGCTCTTGAGGAGGAGGAGGGGAGGGTATGCCCCTCATTTTCCTCCTCCCGTCCTCCTCCCTTTCTCCTCCTGCGTCCCCTCCCATCCTCCTCCGCCGTACCCTCCCCTCCTCCCAGTTTTCCCGCTACAAAGCGTGCAGATGCCTTCAGGTCTACCCACTATTTTCTTTTTTTTCTATCGGCCAATAAGAGTTCGGAGTTTTGACATGCCTCACTCGTCCGACGGGCGTCGGAGGGAGCACTCCCTTTTGACCAGAGCCTTTTATATCCAGTATAAAAGGCTTTGCTTTTGACATAATCGCAACCCCTGTCCAAGAAGCAGACAAACTTGCGCCCCTGCCGTAAAAAAAAGTATCGCAACCGCGTGGTGGCGTAGATTCGCCGAGCTCCATATTTTGCGTGTGTTGACGGCGGTTTTTATAAAGGCCCGACCAGTAACGGAGTACCAGTGCGTAACGTGGATTAAGCAACGGAACACAACACATGACGAGCGCTGTCCTGTGTTGTGTTCCTTTTCCTTGTTACGCGCTGTTACACCTACACCATGTTCAACTTCCACCAACTAGCGTGTGGCCGGTGCCATCTTGGCTGCTCGCGCGTATGGTGCGTGTTTTCCTCGCTTTACGAAGCGACGAACACGCACGTGCTGGGCTGTGAAAATCTCACGCTGGGCTGTGACTTTGTAACGACAACGTTTGAAATGGGCGCCTAATATGGTCAGTACCGTAGCGCCTTAGTGGCCGAGTAGGAGGTTAGTGATGTTATTTAAAGCTAAAGTTGGCGTAGGTGTTTATATTTGAAAGCAAAAACAAACAAAAAATATTACTTGTTAGTTTCCACAAGAATGTATACTTTTTTTGAAGAGTAATATTTTGAGTTTTAATTGCACAGCTACTACACTATCATAGAACTGGGACTCATTCAGCATGCTAAATCAACTTGAACGAAGTTAGCGCCGGTGTGCGATAATTTTTGACTTGTCGATACAGTAATTCTAATTTTAGATTTCGACTAGCACCCTTAAATAATCACGAGTCGAACGATATACCGCACCTTCGTAACGGCACCCGCACTGTTAGAGCGAGGCATCAAGCCAAATCAAGCTCGAAATGGTGAGTAGATAGCACTCGTTTGATTTCGGTATACATTTGGAGCAGCCAATGAGCATCGCGGATTTCTCGAGTTATACAAAATGGCGAGCTATGGGCAGGTGCGTGAATCGGCCGTGGTCGTCTAGCTTCCCCCAGCACTTAATTCTCAGAGTTCGTTAGTGCAGGAAGTATGAACGCGTACCTGCCGCGTGGGTGCTCTGATGCTTTCGACATTGCTGAGTTTTTTGGTCCTGGTTCTGGGGCTGATGCTTTTTCATAAGTGGAACCCCTTCTTGGGCAGTGTAGTATGCAGCATTTTTGCCTTCTACGGAGTGAAAAAGCTCCTGCGAACAAAGCTCGACACCATCATCAGCAAGTTCCGTGAACTCGGGTCTGCAAGATGTCGGCTGCCGAGCGACGCTTTCATTTTCGACGTGTCCAACAACGTCGTCCAGCTACTCTGCAGTGTCGTCGGGAGGCGCAGCGAACTCGGAGGCGTCGACGCCGAGCTCAGCGATAGTTGTCTGGTGCAGTCGGCCAGAAACCGGGGCTCCGACGTCAGCCAGGGCTCGCCGGCGGACTTCATGAACGCCGAAGTGAAGACCTTCGTAGACAACATCAAGACGCGGTACGTCGACTCGTGGTATAGGGACGTGAGCGGGGACCAGGAATTTCCGAGGGAACTCGAGTACATCATTGAAGACGTGTTGCGCGCGTTGTACGACAGGTTGGCCGTGGCAGACCCGTGCGAGCTTCTTCAGCGAGTGATACCCGTGGCCCACGCGCATTTTCGCAAGTGCAAAGAGTATCTGGCAACGAAACGCGGGCAAGGCGACGTAGGTGGGGACGGTCATCGGTCCCGCTCAGCGCCAAGACTAAAGAGGCACTTGGAGTTCAGCCACAGCGCTTTGGGCGACGAAGCTTCAGAGAGGTGCTACTTAAAAAGTGTGATGACATTACTAGTGAGACTCCTGGAGCCGCCGCACCTGCTCTCTAGTCCGGCGACAAATACACTTGTGATAGACATACTTGCCAGTAATATTTTAGTGCCCATCGTGGACTTGTTGTGCGACCCCGAGTGGCTCAACTGGGCCGTGCTGTACCTGTGTTCGCTAGAAGACGATGTGGAGATTCTCGCAATGGCCGCTGACTTTTCCACTGAGCAAAGCCAAGATGCAGCCCAAGCGACAAGTACTAGCACAAGCAACCCTTTGCAGGAAAACACCTCCACGAACACCGAGCCTCGTGACCGACCTGTCGCAAACATTCCGGAGGGTGGTGCGAACTCTGATCCAATGTCTTCCAATGCTGCCTGGGAGCAACTTGTCGTCTCGGGAGATTCCGAAAGCATTCCACTTTCTCCAACTTTCGCACCCAAAAAAGGAAGTGAATGCCTGAAGCTGCCAGATGTCTATTTTAGCACACAGGACGATTCGGCCAGCATTTACGGCGGCAACGATATCGAGGAAGCAATGGAGGCAGAGGAATTCCTTGGTTCCCTAGTGTTTCTCGACATCCGAATTTCTCGGACCGAATCGAGGTCTGTGCCCGGGAAAGGCGTGCACACTGTCTACTGTATAGAGTATGACACCTGCAAGAGGAAGGAGGACAGTACCGTGTCCGTGTCCGAGGTGCACACCACCTGGAGGAGGTTCAAGGAGTTCCTCGAGCTGCAAGGGAGCTTGGAGAAGAACTCTGCCCTGGAAAAGCATCTAAAAGGGATTCGTGGGCCGAGTCGGTGGCTGGGAAGCGTCCTCTCTGACAAGAAGAACGTCCAGGAGCGACGCATATTCCTGCAGCAGTACCTCAAGGGCCTGTGCACACGAGAGGCCATTGTGAACAGCCAGGAGTTTCACAGGTTCCTCGACTTCCAAGAGGAGGGAGAAGAACGCCGGCCCCTTGAGGGAATGAAGTCTGTCCCTTCTTCGGGGCGCCTGGATCGCGTGTTTGCCCAGGGAGTGAAGAACACGCTGGAGCTGATCAAAACAGCACTACCTGGAGACGACCACGGGGGCCTGAGCCCATCATCTCCGTCAGAGAGCAACCTAGTGCTCTTCACGGACTACCTCCCAAACGACATTGAGTGCTCCTTCTGGGAGAACGAGATGTCGCAAGTGTTGCAGCAAGGCATGTTCAATTTCCTGGACAACTTTGACCAGGCGTCCTCTCCTGAGTTCTCCCCTCCGCTGACACCGAGCTGTCTTCACGCAACGAGAGAGACGTCGTCCACTTTGGTGTCACGGCGAAGTAGTGAGGACGTCGACACCCTGCTCCTGCTGGCGAAAAATAGTGAGCCTTTCGTGCCCGGGGAGAAAAAACACGAGCAGCACCTGCGACGGTTGGCCGAATCTTTGCACTCCGAGATCCCTTTTTGTGCCGCCATCATTGACTTTGTGGTCGATTCGCTGGATGAGAGCCATTTCGGCAGGTCGGCTCATTTTGTTTTCTTTTTCGAGGTCCTTCTCGGAAAAGTGCTGGAGAAAATCCTCAGGGACAGAGTCCACGCTGTCTTTGACTGCTCCAGCTGCACCGTGTATCTGCATCGTCTGCATGAGCAGCTCTGGGGGCACGCTTCACAAGAACCATCCTTCACTGAAGCGCAGGTGGCAAGGGGACTGATGAAGACCATTCCAGCATTCCTTCAGTTGATCTTTGGAAGAGAGACGGTCTGTGAGGTGTCTAAGCTGCTTGCCAAATCCATCCAGATGCGTGCCATCAACAAGTGCTTAGTTTTCCAGTTGATGGATGTGTTGGTAGATTTTTTGGTGTCCCCAGATGAATGTGATACCGATCTCGAGAGCGAAGGCTAGATTGTTGCTGTTTACCTTCAAATTTGCCAAAGTTTGAGCTGATGAATGAGCTGATGGATATGTTGGTAGATTTTTGGTGTCCCCAGATGAATGTGATACCGATCCCGAAAATGAAGGCTAGATTGTTGATGTTTACCTTCGAATTTGCCAATTTCTTTTACAAGACTATAGTATTTATTTTCCGATGTGAACTGTAGAATGATGTACCTCGTGATGTGTATTGTTTAGCATGGATGTGTAGCTCATAATAAACTTGTTTCATGAGGTTAAATTGGAATTTTGCACATTCTTTCAAACTATGCTAATATCATATTTTCCAAACTATAATTTGCACCTGGTGTATAGTCTGCAAAAACAAATTTTAACTAAAGAAAAAAAAAAGAAAACATTTTTCTTAGATAGTTGTGTAAAATACTGGGAGAGTGCCCTCACCACTTTCACTGAAAATTGGGTTAATTTAGACATGGATGCTTGTCCCATCAAATCAGGTGCTTAACATATAATTTGTAGAATTCTCAAGTTTGGGAAATGTTAACACTGGGCACTTGCACTGTATTTTATGGTACTTTGCATCTGGCACATATTTTGCATGTAGAAAACTTCTCATACACAGCACACCTTGAAAAATGCCTACCTTATTAGTGCACCAAGCTGGTATCATACAAAAATTCTAACTTTTAAAAATGCAACGTGAAATTCTAACTTTTAAAAATGCAAAATATGGTAGATCCTTTTCTTTGTTGGCTTATGTTTCTTTCATGTCCTAGTTATTCGTCTTCACTTGTAGATGAAACCACAGGAGATGAGTAAAGGGCTGGGATCTCCTAAGAAGTTTCTGAGATGTAGGCATCTGAAAATTTTCTATAGGTTGGGGTGGGGGTGGTTTCTACAACTTTTGGTACTCTTGGTGCTTTCTCACTCTCTCAGCAGTGGTTTTGATTGCTGGGATTAGTTTCTTCGCATAGTGCCACACGAGGCTGCCATAAGCAACAGTTGAGATCATTGTGCATTTTCAAAATCAGCATTGCCTTGTCCAGCAGATGGAGAATATAGAGGCAGGCTAGACATAGAGAAGAGCAATCAGTCAGACTGGTGGGTGGCAAAACCATTGCCACCCATTGTAGGAAGAACCCTGGTGCGAGGTCATGGTTGGTGGCATTGTCTGATTGGGGGAGGGGGGCCTTATGGAGCTTCGCCCCCCCCCCCCCCCCCCCCCTGATATCCAGCCGATCCTATACTATACACTTGCATTAATTTTACCCCCCCCCCCCCCCCCCCCTCCCTCCGCTCCCGAAGTCATGGACATCCTATAACGCCTCAGCCCCCCCACGAAAAAAAATTCCTGGCTACACCACTGGTCAGGGTCAGTGTTGCCTGGCCTCCTTGCTACATACACAGTTTATGTTATGGACCTTTCCACACACAAGAACCACCTCTTTTTGTCTTTGCTTTTACCCTGGCTAAGTCAGTTCCATCTCCCACCCTCGTGCCCTTTACCTTTGAGCATCACTTTGTGACTGATATTACTTGATTCCTTCTGTACCTTGAAAAGGTTATCTCAAAAATAACCCATCTTTTCTTTTTTTTTTTTTCAGTAGCTATGTCTCCTTTTATTATTTCATTATTTCAATACCGAGAGATACCCCACCTCCCGAAAGATAACCCTTCCCTATGTTTGGCACGAGTTGCTATTTGCTTTCGAAAATTACAGAAAAACGGTCCACTTTTAGTAATTGCAGGGCTCTGTCCAAAGGTGGACCACAGCAGAAAGGGTGATACTTAGCCACTTCGGGGAATAAGCAAACATTACTGACTGGGAAACACAGTCATGTTTAGTTCGTCACCCCTTCCTGTGATCACAAGTTTTAGCAGGTCACAAAAAAAGAAGTGACATTTTTTTCAAATTTTTTGTATCAGACACTAAAAGTTAGCCCACTCTTTATTTTCACCCAGTTTGCTTTCAATTTTAGATGGGCTAGCTTTTGGGATATTACGGTATATTTGATTGGTAATATCCCCTCATCTATTATGTCTTAGCAGGTCACAAAAAAGGAAGTGGCATTTTTTCAACTTTTTTGTATCGGACACTAAAAGTTAGCCCACTCTTTATTTTCACCCAATTTGCTTTCAATTTTAGATGGGCTAGCTTTTGGGATATTACTGTATATTTGCATGGTAATACCCCCTCATCTATTATTTTACCTGCCATGGAGTTTTATTCGATTTTAGGACTATTATATTACATTCTTGGCATTTAATCTTTTTAATGTAAATTAATGGCAGAGTATGTAGTCTGTCGACAACTGACTCTGTGGAACCCAAATACTGAAACATTATTGTATTTGTCCTATGTTGAGTCTTTATAATTTTATTAAATTAAATTTCTTGTAACTTTTTTGTAACCTTGAGCTTGTTGGCTCGATTTTCCTTGTCCCTTTCATCAGTCCAGATCCTTGGCCAAGCACTCTCGGTGTCCTAGAGTGCGACTACATACACCGCACTTGTTAATTAACTTTTAGAACTTGTACCCATACAGGAACAGTTTGAGCTCCTGGTAAGAATGTGGGGACATTTTAATTATGAAGTGAGTAAAGCAAGTCTGATAATTTCAAATCACTGGTATAGTACATATGAATGGACATGCAATATCTTAATATTTGTATATAAACCCTTTTTTTCCCCACATCTTAAGAGAAGGAACTTTTTAAGGTGAAAGCCAAGATGTAACATTTCCAAGCTGCTCCTCAATCTGTCTATTACCCGAGGGACCATTTTAGCTTCCCTGACCAGCCTCATAAGTTAACTGTTGCAGTTTTGCAAGCTCTGCCTTGCACTTGGTGTAGTACTGCCTTCTCCTCTTTTATGATTGTCAAGGCATATCTATTGGTGAACATGTACTGCTTTATGGTCCCCTTTTTTTCTTTATTAATCACACATCCGTACTTGTCCTCTATTTTTATCTGCTTCCCTTGCTTTAGTTCTTAATTCCTTTTAGCCTTTAATGTCATCTCGCTCAAGATGCTATTCAGGCAACAGGATTACCGGCTAACTCCAGTCCTTTGAGATAACTTGATGCCGTTGATAACTGGCATTATGTGCATATTGTTTCTTTTCTCTCTTTTTTCAATCTAGTACTCTGTGCTGTTCAAGCAGGAGCAAGGTGGGTGCCAGTACCAGTTTGCATTATCAGGCAAATGTTCCTTTTTAGTGTGCCGTGTGAATGAGTGCTGCTTACTTCTGCAGCCCATGAGGACTCCATCTGGAGTTGTGCTTGGGCCAAGTCAGCAAAAGATGGAACCAACCGGATTCTCACTGGCTCTGTGGATGATACCGTCAAGTGCTGGAAGTGGTAGGTGCACTAGAGTACAGGAAGCGTTTTTTCCTCATATTTGTTGTGGAACAATTCGTTTCATGGTATGGTACCATCTGCAGGAATGAGGACTCGCTGGAATTGCTTCACGTGCTTGAGGGGCATGCGCTCGGCGTGGTTTCAGTGGACATTTCTCACGATGGCGACGGTAGGCATATTTTCTTTTTCATCAGCCTTATGCTTCCTGGAAGTTAATCTTGCCTGCTGAACCTGTGAACTCTATAAAATTGGGTTTGCTGTATTGGCATTTTCATTATGCTAGTGTACTGTAACATTGAACTTATTTATAAAAGTGTGTGCATTGCTATTTACATTAGACTCTGCATTTAGGTACAAGATCATTAGTGTTACAATATTCGTGGGTGTGCTTAGAATCACAGAATACTTGTACTTTCCAGTGGCTGCATCTAGCTCCTTAGACAGCAATATCAAGTTGTGGGATTTGGAGACAGGAGAAGAGAAGAAGAGCATAGATGCTGGGCCAGGTGAGTTTGCAAAAAAAGAAGAATCGGCAGCTGTTGTGCAACTGGAGTGCCATGCACTTCTGGGTCTCTTCCATTTTGATTATTTCAAGCAAGTTTCAAATTTGTATGTAAAGAATAAAGAAATACGCCAACCAAAAAGTCGAAAAATTGTCCCAACGTTTCGAAACAGTTCGTTTCTTCCTCAGGGGCGACTAAACGGGATAATAGCTTCTTTGTCTTTCTTTGAACTGGCTATCTCTTCTTCTTCATTGTTGATTGCTGGTTGTCTTCGTTTCGCCTGCGCCGTCTTGATTGTATCTCGTAACCCATGAACATATAAACTGGGTAAGGTGCCTAGAGACCTATTGATGTTATTTGCGGTGTTTTGAATATGCCAGGATTCTATCAGCTGTCTTCTGCGTAGGTTCGTCTCAGTACCCAGAATGCTTGCATCTTCAAATCCGATACGGTGGTCATTAACTTCACAGTGCTCCGCTAGAGCACTGCGTTCGCGGTCAAAGTTGCGTACGTCATTTTTGTGTTGACGGAGACGGAGATGATGAGGGCAAAGAATATATGTTCATCTGCAACAGACAAAAGGAAAGAGGAGCAAGCGATCACCCGTGATCTAAAAAATAATGGATACACAGGTAACTTCATTCGCCAAATCACTCACCGTCTAAACCGCAGTCGCCGAGACGGGCAACCTACTGGTACTGCACGTCCTAAACCGATTGCACGCATCAGCATACCCTACACAAAAGGGATAAGTGAAACACTATCCAGGACTTTTGCAAAAGAACACGTCACCGTGGCCCATAAACCTGTGACCACACTCGGGCGTTTTCTACCTCGGCCAAAAAGTCGTCCACCCAAGGAAAGGGCCCAGGGTGTAATTTACCAAATATCCTGCACCCAGTGCCCCGCCTCCTACATTGGAGAAACTAAAAACTTCCAAGAACGGCTCCGTCAACACAAAAATGACGTACGCAACTTCGACCGCGAATGCAGTGCTCTGGCGGAGCACTGTGAAGTTAATGACCACCGTATCGGATTTGAAGATGCAAGCATTCTGGGTACTGAGACGAACCTACGCAGAAGACAGCTGATAGAATCCTGGCATATTCAAAACACCGCAAATAACATCAATAGGTCTCTAGGCACCTTACCCAGTTTATATGTTCATGGGTTACGAGATACAATCAAGACGGCGCAGGTGAAACGAAGACAACCAGCAATCAACAATGAAGAAGAAGAGATAGCCAGTTCAAAGAAAGACAAAGAAGCTATTATCCCGTTTAGTCGCCCCTGAGGAAGAAACGAACTGTTTCGAAACGTTGGGACAATTTTTCGACTTTTTGGTTGGCGTATTTCTTTATTCTTTACATTTAAATTCACCCAACCAGGCAGATATCTGCCGAACATGTTTACCTTCAAGTTTCAAATTACATTTTCTGTTAGCAGCAGCTTCCAGACTTTTTGAGCTTTACACTAAACCTTGCTAGCCAAAGTTTGGTCATCCACACTTATTATACCAAGTTGCAGCAGCCAGTTTATTTTAATTGATCTATGTGTCCCATGTTACAATAAAAAACCATTATTCATCAGCAGCCCTTGAATTAAAATAAATTTAAGTCAGTAATGGGAACTGCAACAGTGCTTTCACTGCAAAGTGAATCAGTGTTAGAGTTTTTTACAACCATACATTTTGCCCTGCCTCTGATTTGCAATAAAACAGGAAACCCTAATGTGGAGAATAATTATAATAATAGTAATGATATTGTTTATTTTCCATTCATTCAAAAAGCAGGGAAAGAGAAAAAGAAAAAAAAAAAGCTTTAAAACACTTAACACCTGTAAAAGTTTAAGAAACATTAAGATGTATTCTGCCATGCTTTTTGTGTTGCTGCGTATACCTGATGCTTTTAAGTATCCACATAATATTGTCAACAGTCCCAAACTATAATATTGGATTAGGAAAGCCAATGTAATGAGCAGTTGCTGCTGTTGGGCCCACCTTTCAAATGAGAAAATTGTCTTGTCTCTTTTCTTTGGCCCTCATTTGATTTCTGAGCCAGGTCTTACTCGGCAAATGCTGTGCACCCAGCAACGATTTATCATCCTTGCATCTGGCTTTATGTCTATTAGAAGCCTTTTCATGCTTTTCCAGTGGATGCCTGGTCGGTGACATTCTCACCCGATTCCCGTTTCCTGGCCTCTGGCTCACACTCTGGGAAAATCAACCTCTACGGGGTCGAGTCATGCAAACTGGAGTCTTCACTTGACACCACTGGAAAATTTACTCTCAGCATTGCTTTTGTGAGTCAAAGGTTTTGTCTTTTCACGTTACTATTGTATCCCAAGTTGCAAGTTGCACATTTGTTCAGCTAGATCAGAAAATTATATTTCTTCACTCGACTCTGTGCTGGTTCTTGACAAGCGACTAAGCAACTGCACCTAATGCCGAGAATTGGGATGAAATAGAATGGCAGAAGGGCCTAAACTATTTTCTATAGCTGAGTGCCTTGTTATATTTAATGCAGAGAAGCTGAAGTTCCCCCTTCTGCCATTCTAAATATACTACTAGTATTGACTTATTGAAGTTGTGACACTTTTTGAGTCGTTGAATGGGCACTTTTGTTAATCGTTAAAGTGCTTCATTGAATTTGTCTCTGGTAAAATGAGTACTTCGTTCATTGCTAAAGCACTTTATTGACTTTATCTCCGAGTTCATGCTGATGGGTTACTGGCATGCAGAGCCCTGACGGAAAATACATTGCCAGCGGTGCCATTGATGGGATCATCAACGTGTTTGACATCTCCACAGGAAAACTGGTGCACACATTAGAAGGTGAATGCGGGAGGCTCACTTTGCACCTTACTTCCTCTCAACTCATTTGCATATTATTTTTTTTAGCTTTGTTGCACATTGCTTGCTAGTATTGTGCCAAGGGTTCTGCAGACTGTGTCAATCAGGGGATTAAGATTCAACCCCTTCTTTTGTGCATTTGTAAGATAGAGTGAATGTGCAAGATATCTATCTCTGGGTATCAAAAAGACAGTCAGAGTCAGCGACAAAAGCTGTGGAGGCAACCCTAGTGTTGCATTCACTTATGATTGTCTACAGCATCGCTATTCTTTACACATACTCATATTAATGGTTAGTGACATTTGTAAAAATGGCCCCTCAGTCGTGATAACTGCACTTGGATAAAGAAAAATAATCTCACTTATTTACATTTTAATGAACTAATGGTTGAAATTACAGTTGGTTGTGGGACATCTTAGTTTTCATAACTTTGAAAGTAAACTCTGAAATTTTTTGCTGGCTTTTTTTTTATCTGCTCACTCTTTTTTTGTGAATGAGACCAGAGTGTTTAAGAAGTTGCCACGGCAAACCTCTGCCATGGAAGAGTTTTCATTTGGTGCTAGCTTGAAATATTTTAATGGAATGGTACAGTGGAATACATGCCAGTGTTTGTTCTCTCAATTGTGGTATGTTTTGTTTGCCATGCTTACCACAGGCCACGCCATGCCCATTCGGTCACTGACCTTTTCTCCCGACTCTCAAATGCTTGTGACCGCATCAGATGACTGCCACATCAAGGTCTATGATGTGTGAGTAGTTGACTCTAAATTTCCTATGTCCACAAGCTTGCATGGAGAAGATAAAAATGTTTATGTTTGAACTGAACTTTCAAGAGGGCCAACGACTCTTACAAAGGGACAAAGTGAGGCAGTGCATCCGAGGTTCAGTTGAACGAGATGGCTGCGAAGGCATTCATTCGGGCCTAGATCTTTTCCGAAATAAGTGTGACCACCATATGCACAGAAAAATTAAAGGTGTTGACGAAGGATAATTGGAAATCAGCAAAGTACTTTAAATGACATGGTTGATGAACTGAGGCACCCACACTTTTAGACTTCATTTTTGAGCAGGGGGGATGTTCTTCAGAGTTTATTTTCTACCTGTCACACAACGCGTGGCGGAAAAGTAACGAGACTAATTTTTTTAGTTTTTTTTTAGCCATGAATTTTATTATTCTTTTTACATCAAGGTTATCATTTTCAAAGTAGCTCTCTTGGACAGCTACACACCGATAGAGGCGTTTTTTTCCATTGTTTATAGCACTGCTGTAGGGCTTTGCTGGAATGTGTTTCCCCTCGTCTGTTAACACTCTTTTGGATGTTATCCAAAGTACCAAAAATGGTGTTTCTTCAAGTGGTCTTTGAGCCTAGGGTATATAGAAGGAAGTCGCAAGGACTGAGATCTGGCAGGTAAAGGGTCGAGGAACCACGGTAATGCTTGTTTCTGCCAAAAACGCATTAATGGAAATTGTCCTGTGACATGGGGCGTCGTCGTTGTGTAGCATCCAAAGTGCACGCAATGCTTGGTCGCACACGTGCCACCCTCTTCGTGAGTCTTTCAGTGACTTCCAAATAAAAAGGTTTATTGACCGTTTGTCCTGGAGGTACAAAGTACTTGTAAACAGTCCCCTGACAAAAGGAAAAAGATACAAGTGAGCATTGATTTGGCTTTTGATTTGCTCATTCTCGTATGTGCAGTAACCAAAGCCTTTAAATCCCTGTCACTGCTGCCACTGAGATGTTCACCAAATGTAAACATTTATTTGTGTAGCATGTGAGTGGCACTCGGCAATCCCTCTACTGAAAGGTTGTGGTTTCCTCCGCAGGCAACATGCTGGTTTGGTGACAACGCTGTCTGGTCACGGTTCCTGGGTGCTTCACGTGGCATTCTGCTCGGATAATGCTCACTTCGCTTCAAGGTGAAACTTTTTTTTTGAATGCTAAAGCATTAACTGTCTTATGGAGTGAGCCAACATCATCAATTTGAAGTGCGTCAAACAGCACCTTAAATCCTTTCTCCAAGTGAAGCCAGCTCCCGGCTATGAAACCACGCAAAAAGCCTAGACAACGGCACCTAGTTTCCCCGATCCCAAAAGAGCAGAGTAAACTCAGGCGAAAATCAGTCCACTTCCAGCTGAATTTTGGATCTGGAAATGAGGCAGTTCAGCTGGATTCCACCTGGGTCCAGCTGGAATCCAGCTGGACCGCCTTATTTCTAGTTCCTTAATCTAGCTGGAAGTGGACTGATTTTCGCCTGGGAAGCTAATGGATTTCGCCTTCAGTCCCATTGGCCACTGCGCGCATCAATTTCAATGACCGCCGCCCCATGGCGGTGCGTGTCCGCGTCGCGAGTACGCCTCTAACACGAAGCGTCCAAGGTCAGAGCTGCGAGGAGAGCTGAAAGAGTGCACACATGGCCGACGCAAATACGCTGCAAACGAAACATGGGAGCGGAAGAATGGCACGGATGCTATCGCAGTCATAGCTTATCAGAAGTGCTTAGGTGTACCTTGAGCTTGTTTTCAATTTACGTTGGGTAGATTTTAATTATGATGAAACCATTTTCTGCCAATGGTTTTAAAACCTCATGTCATGTTTTGGTTGCCTGAGATCCGTCGTGCTCACTAAGCTATGACCTAATGTGGAACTCCCATGAAGTATACAATCAAAGTCGAGTTTATGTTTCGTCGTAAAGGAGACCATTGCACATGCAACGAGTCGTCCAAGCTAATCGGGCGGCTACAGGGCTAATTTGCACTCTGTGTAGCACTGCGCCCCATTATGCTGACCACTTGGAACATTTGAATTACTAAACTGGCTTGTGGCTTTAATCGTGAGCCTCATTCGGGTAGTGCAGAGTTTGTGAATTTAGCCATGCACAGTATGGCTCAGTAAACTGACAATCCAATATTAACTGACTGGAATATATTCACAGGTAAATGATATGAAAAGGAAATATATGAAAAAAGAAAAGAATATCTGTGGCTGGTATGACGGAATTTTTACCGTCTTCTAACCTTTCTGCATTAAGCCTAACCACCCTTTCTTCATGTTGTTGTGCTGGTTTCAGTCTGATTGGATCATCATGTTGCGCTTAGTATCTAAAGTTATGTCGTCATCAACGAAGAGCCACCGACCTGAATATGTCACCCTCCAGTTCACTTACAGAAAAGTTTCAATAAGTTTCAATAGTTTCTTGAACCGTTGAAATTTCTAACTTCTAATCAGTAACATTTGCTCACTACCTCCAGAAGATTTTTTTACTGCTATCGATAGCTCCTAATCTTAATTGATCTTGCCTGTCGTCTTGTATATCCCCGACTCCTGCAATAGCCTTAGCGAGACTGTGGCATGTAAGAAAATAAATGAGTAAGAAACTAAATTCACATTGGCAATATGTGATATGGCAAACTGCATAAAATAAAAGAAGGGAGTGCAAAATGTAGTGCTAGAAAATCTTATAAGCTTTTTTGTGCATGTTTTTGCCCAGGACATGCAGCTTGTATGTTTGGCTTGCTGCTTCTACACTTGAATGCCATGGTATCTACACAAGATACTTCAACTGACCCTCGTTAATGCTTGTATTGTGATATTTCTAAAGGGTGACTCCACTGAACTTTTGTATTGAACAGGAAATCAATTTCAGTTTCATGTTAGTGAACAAAATCATGATCAAAATAATTTCCAAATTTCTAATGTTGACTTCAAACTTAGCATCCCAGCTGAGCATTGCTCATAGCCTGAAGGAGGGGAATTTAATGGGCACTGTGACATAGACTACCAAATGGCTTGCTAGCTGCAAATTCCGTTTTGGACTTTTTCCACAGGCACTTTGGTGGTTCTTTCTCTACCATCCTTGAATCCAAAGTTACATGCCATGTGTGAATCATGCATAAGCTGGATTTGTTTTAGAGCTTTGTGGAGTTGCTTTTTAGGATATTCAATTTCCTGCTGTCAAGTTCTTTAGTAAGGTGGTCTGCTGGATAGATACTAAGTACTAGTAGCAGGCTTGGAACTTTTGATGTGCATGTTTTATTTTTAAAATATAATGGGCAGCTATTTAGAAGTTACTTTCTGGGCCACATCATTCTTTCCTGCTGTCCCATGACTAAAATCAATATGATGTACCTTTACTTTCATTTTTCAAGCATACATGTTTTATTGGGGTAGTAGTATGCCTTGTCTGTATGAACCATATCATTATTATGATATGGTTCATACACCAAGACAAAAAGCACCAAAAACCAGTGTTGACCTGTTTGCATTATAATGTTTTTAGTACGCAGTTACTCCGACACAGGAAAGCATAAGTTGGGTGCTACAGTCGAGCCTTTTTATATCACACTCGGGGATTTCGATTTATTGTTTATATCAAACCGTCCAAACATCCTCTTGAAAATCACATGTAATAGTTTAGGAGCGTTGTCTTTTTGTATTGAACTTCCTTGGCGGGGACACTCGATATAGCGAACGAAGCCCGGTTGCCTGTTGCTTTTCACGCCATCCGATTGCGCCGATTGCGCCGGTGGCGAGCACGTCGCTTGCCTTGCGTGGCTGGCAGACCGCCAAGCCAGCTTTCACGCTGGAAGATTCGCAACAACCGTAAAAAAAAAAAAAAAAAAAAAAAAAAAAAAAAGTGAAGGATGGCAAAAGCAAGGGGAAGGGCACGCGGCGCGCGCGCGCGTGTAGGGATTGTAGGGAAAGCAGGGAATGGCCCCCTGTCGAATTAAAGTCCCTCTATGTTTCCCCGAACATTGCTAATGCCGCGATGCTTCCTAGCCCCAAAATAATATTAAAACAAAAACACACAAAAACAAACCTTCTAGCAAGTTAAGTGCAAGCCGTCAACAAAGGTTGTGCAATCGCACTTTTTTTTTTATTGGTGTAGATAATGAAGCCAGAGAGATTAGCCGGGAGGTATCTCATGACTGGCTACTCTTTGAACGCCTTATCTGTTTACCTCTTTCTTTTGCGGCTATTGCTTTGCCTTTTTTTTTTTTTTTGCCTTTCTTTTTTTTTTTTTTTTTTGCTGCCTGAATTTAGTGCGCTTTCTTCTTTCTTTGTTCACCCTTTTCTTCTGCCGTTATGCTTTGCCCAGTTTTTCTTTTTTTTTTTTTTTGCGGTCTGAACTTAGTGAGCTTTCTTTTTTGTAGCTTCCTTAACAGTTTTTCTATGGATCAGCAGATTTCTTTTTTATTATTATTTCCTTGTTTTGTCGTTTATGGTGTGTGGAGGTTCCAGCCAGGTGCGCGTGTAAGTGCAGCGGTGTCTGCGGTCTCGGCCGACTATGCTCTACTGTATTGATGCTCTATTTGGTAAGCTCCCACTTGTCGCGACCTTCGGTATTAGCAGACACCAGGAAATTTCAACTCGAGCTTAAAGGGCCCATGAAACGGATTTTGGGCTGGAATAAATCAGTTTCTATTGGAATTTTACTAATAGCACATCATTCAGTGGGCCAAAAGAAAAAAGTGAGAAAGTCAAAAGCCCGACTTTCGGTACGAAAATTTGAAAACGCAGCAGACTATTTCGTACCTCCTTCCCTTCGTAAGCTCTCTGCCTCTTCACTGCGATACATCCGCGGTCCCCGGGCTCAAACGCACGTCACACAACACCGGACCTCACTTACTCGCTTCGCCCCTAAGCTGATATTGTGGTGGAAGCTATGCACTTGCCGGACCAATCAGCCGCCTCCCTTTCATCCCCTGACCTCATTCTCTGCGTGAGAGAGCGTGATCACGTGGCCAAAATGTGGCTGGCCCAAGGAGCACATAGTTTCCACAGCACTGTCAGCTTTGGGGGTGAACGGGGTGGGGAAAGCAACTTTTGTCTGAATTTTGAGCGATGGGTTAATCTTCTCGGGGGAGAATGGCTGTATCCGGGTGCACCAACGAGAGTCCGAACAAGAGGGTACTTCCCCCTTTCCGTCTTCTTGAACTGTTTGGTAGAATGCGCGATTTATGAGTTGAGGAGGAAAGCTAAACAGGAAAAGCAATTCATGACCCCTTTAATTTAATATAAATTTGTATATCAAACCATTGATATATCAAACTATTTTACGATCCCCTTTGAATTCAATATATCCTGGTTTGACTGTAGTACAGTACAACCCAGTCATAACAAAGTCGGTAGGAATCAGGAATCACTTTGTTATATCCGCTTTTTGCATTATGATCTGGACTCTTAAACAAAGTGCACAAAAAAGACAAAATGGGCATACTTTATCTCTGTAGCAAGTAGCCGGGAGTTCCCTCCACATGTTTTGTGAGCTTAAAGACTGGCCTCAATAGCATATAACTGTGAGCCAAAGTTGTGGTCTAGTTTGGCATTCCTGTGGTACATACGAGGTGTGATCCAAAAATTCCAGGATTAGTTTTATAGCCCAAAAAAAGGCAGCACGGTGATGCGCATGCATCTATCGAAGACAGAAACCTTTATGTCTCATTAGGTCAAAAGGCATCGTTCTGTGAACATTTAGAACTGCGCTACATGGGTATTTCTAACAACATGCACGAGAAAAATGGCGCTTTCAGCATGGACTGCAAACCGGAGCCAGAGCAAGCATCAATTTTGCGTCAAACTCTGCAAATCTGAAACAAAGACCTTTGAAATGATTCGGCAGGCTTGTGACGAAAAGGCAGCAAGTCATGCGAGGCGTTTTGAGCGACACTTTTACTTTAAGAATGGCAGAACATCACTGGCAGATGAAGAGGTCAAGAAACGTCCCCTACTTTTCGTCATCTTCCAGTGATGTTCTGTCATTCTTGAAGCGCAAGTGCCACTCAAAAACGCCTCGCATGACTCACTGGTTTTCTGCACAAGTCTGCCGAATCATTTAAAAGGCCTTCGTTTCAGATTTGCCGAGTTTGACACAAAATTGATGTTCGCTCCGACTCTGGTTTGCAGTTTATGCTGAGATCACCATTGTTCTCGCACTTGTGGTCAGAAAAACATTTGTAGCGCAGCTCTAAATGCTTAAAAAATGATGCTATTTAGCACAATGAAACACAAAGGTTCCTGCTTTCAGCAGCTGAGCGCACATGGCAGTGCTGTATCTTCTCTTTTTACGCCACAGAACTACCGTAAAATACCGGGCAAGCGCCCACTCAAAATTGAGAAATAATTGCAAAAACATGGGGGTAGGGCACTTATCTGGTCATCAATTTCACATATCAATGTACTGTGCATATTTTCTTGGATCTTACGAATTTGGGTATGGGTGCTTAGTGTGGAATGGCGGATGTGCGGTATTTTACGGTAGTCCCGGAATTTTTGGGCTGCACCTCGTACGTAAGACGTCTATCACCACAATGACAGCTCTGGCGGTCAGCGACTACGGTTCCTTTCGAAACACTCTCAGTGAGTCTGTCGGTCGACGAGTGCTCTACAGTGACAGGGCCATCATCAAAAACGAAGTCCATAGGTCCAGACTAAGAGGCACATGATCCATCCCTTTCATGGACTCCCAGAGCCACTTCAAGGGAACTGCTGCAATGGCACCATCGGCTGCTGCAGATATGTCAACTGGTGCTGCTCCGTCTCCGGCAGGCACCGCATCAATACTGTGGCTGCAAGAAGCCTCCTTGCTTGTGCCTAGCGTACAGTATTCTTACATGTGATGCTGCACCTCTCTCTGAAGCGCTGTGGCCATCTGTCTCTTGTCTCAAAGTACCGTAGTTGTGACCAAAAGCCAACCCCCCAATTCCTGGCCCTCAATAACATGATAGATTGCACGTTCCGAATACCTGAGGCAATTGGCATCAAAGTACCCATCTGTCACAAAGCAAGCATCTTGCACAAGTTCCGGCCTTGATTAGAGTAATTAAACCTCGCCTAGCCACGAATCATTCTGCGTTTTAAACTCGCAAAACAACTTGGGTGAATCAGAACGATAGACGGTGGTGTTTCTTTTAATTCAACAATGTGAATCTCCATTATTATCTCAAATATTTTCGTTCTGTTAGCAGACTTAAAATATTGCAACTGCGAGACGCCAAGGTGTCATCGAAGGTAGGACGCTTGCACTAGAAACAGGACAGCTGAAAGGCCACCTGCCATTTTCATCTTGTTAGTGACTCTAGGGCACATTTCCCTCGCATACACAGAGAAACTGTTTTTATAACTGTCTGAGCTGTGGATTTTTCCAGTTTCTTTAGCTGTGAAAGCACCAAACAGCATTGGTACTGAAAGGGTCCGATATGGTCAGTTGACAGCACATTCGAATTTTTGCAGTTCCTCTGATCGGACTGTGAAGGTCTGGGACTTGGCAGGCAAGGAGTGTGTGCACACGTTCAGCGAACACTCGGACCAGGTCTGGTGCACCAAGTACAACCACAACGGTAGCCGCCTCGTATCCGTGTCTGAAGACAAGAGCATCATTGTCTATGACTGTCCTGTGTAAATAAAGCCATGCTTCATCACTGGCATTGTTCGGATGCAATCGCGGGGATTGTTGAACATCGGGTCTGGAAAGCAATAGGCAAACCCGTCAACAATCTTCCACTCTCTTTAACAATGCCGCTTACATTCTCAGATGTGCTTGGTAGGGTTGTGCGAATACAGTGATGTCTCGGTAATATGGACCCCTCCATTCCCCCTAAAAAGTGTTTGTAATGAGAGTTTCCCCATAATAAAGAGACAAAAATGCATGTCTATTTAGTTTGTACCAGGAAATGTTGTCTATATAGTGGGGTATTCTTGTTAATGGGGTTTGTACTAACAAGACATGACTATTCGAATTTCTTAGAACCGCATTATTCATATTTTTTTAAGTGTTGTGCACGGCATGTTAGCGCCGTTGGGCATGCTTCTTACTGAGCCCAGTGCATTGCAGAGAAGCAACACCCACAGAGCTTGCTTCTGCAAGTGTTGTTTCTCTGCAGTGCACTGGTGCTAGGTAAAAAGCACACTGAACAAGCCTAAAACGCAACGATCAACACTTCCAAGAATCGATATTGTAGCCGTGCGCTTAGGAGGAAAGCACATCCACAAAAGATGGGGCACACGTGCAACGGGTATGTTTAAAAAGAAAGGGAAATTTCATGAATGTTGGTATCAACATTGCAGTAAAATCTTCAAAGATGCACGACTGTTAGGTTGAGGTGACCCAACAACCCGCGTTAGTTTAATTTTGTTTCAAGTATGTCAATTACTTCCTATCCCAATGTAGGCATTGGACTTTCTGAGGCCAATATAGTTGAATTAAAATTTACTTAGCTTAGAAATGGACAAGTGGGGCTGGGTTTTCATTTAAGCATGGTGCAGTAGTGAAAGGCTAAAAAAAACTATTTAATATTCAAACCGGAAAAAAAAAAAAAAAAAACAATTGCAAAACCACTATTTACTTGGATTTCGCATCAAATTCAAAATCCACTATTTGCATATGCCTAGTGCTTGGTTTATCCAGGGGAGTGTTACCTTCCTCAAATCATTTCAAAAAGCAACATATTTCACTTGTTTCAATTATATGAGATCTTGTTCCCAGCCCTATAGATGTGGTTCAAATACATCCTTGAATTTTAATAGAATCTCTTTTAACATACAAGTTGGTTGGAAAAAACTACCATGGTCCAAACTGAAGGTTTTGGTATTAGATGTGAAATCAATATCCTAACATGGCAAGCAGGAACCAGACTTTCATGTAACCTAAGTACTGGTGTCAAAGATGAAAGAGGACCCTGTTTTTCTCGCCATAAAAGTAGACTGCGTCGCCGAATGCCAATTCTCTGCCCAAATGTGATGCTAGCAATTGGGACCAGGTGCCAAACTTTCGGAGTTTACCATTATTTGGTTCAAGTTATTATGGTTTTTTTTTTTAATTGGGTAAAGTTGGCCGGGGGAGATTTTTCCCACAGGTTTGATCTGTATCGGGACATATTTTCAGCGCCCACAAGAAAGTGATGTTATCGGGGCTCATGAAGGCTGGATGTGGCAGTGGGATTCTCTGACCCCCAAAGAACATACACGCAACCTAAATACTTGAAAAGCGTCTTGGTACCAATAAGAGAATGAGACAAAGCGAGCGGTGTGATTCCCAAAAAAAGTATCCTCGTGGAGAGTTCAATGCGGGCTATATTCACCGCGTGAGGAAAAATAAAGTAAAAATTTCGTTGCTGTGAAGGTTGTATTTTTTTTTCTCTAACTGAAGTACAGTTTTTTGTTGTGGGCTTTTCAGTTTTTTTTCTAATTTCAAGAAGACCAGCTTGGGGGTTGCTTTAGACTTTGTTGGTATGTATGGTTTCGGAAATTTAGCAGAACCAGAACTATCTGCTAAAGGGATGGCAACACTGATAATCAGCCGTACGGCTGTGATGTGACATCACCGAGGGTGCTGCAGTATGCGGTACAACCAATTGACTGCAGCTCCACCACGACGCGACGTCACAAGGGTGCTGAACCAGTGTTCCTCGGCTAAAAGCTAACCCACTCGCCGCCCGCCAAAGAGCAGCTAAACAAATCTTTAAAATCGGTTTTAGTGGAGTATGCGGCTTCACTTTGACTTAATATTTCGGCTATGATCATATTTTGTGCCGATAAAGTGATACCAGTCATTTATTTTGGTTTTGTTTTCGATCGGAGTTGCCCTTTAGGGAATCTGGTTGGTATACATGGGTAAATTACTTTCAAAATGTAATTTAGTTACAATTACAATTATTTTGCTCCAAAAATAGTTGAACTACAATTACAAATTACTTTTAAAAAGTAATGCAATTACTTCACAATTACTTATTTCTGAGAGTGTGTTAAATGAATTGTTGAACTTAACAGTTTGGAGTAATGAACTCCTGCATTCTTATATTCTCAATAAATAAAAATAAATTTTTATTATATTTGTATTTTATTTTAAAACAAGCTCTTGACAGTCTAAAATTGGTGTTTGTAAAGTTTTGGAATCTCGTCCAATCAGGTTGAGAAACGGTTGAAAGGGTTAAAGGTTGAAGCAAACAGTAAATAATGAAACTTTATGCAGAAAGGTAGGCGAGGATTGGGAGAGGAAAGAGAAGTGTAGCAACAACGGTAGGAAGTGAGGTGGAATGAGTTGTGTTAACGAGACCTGCTGCTTCTTCGCCTCGATGTTAGAGTATCACAACTTACTGGAGGTGGTACCAACAGACAAGCTAGAGTAGAGGGACGTGAAGAACTCGTAAAGATAAGGGAATAATTTCATGAACAGTAAAACCGCCAACCTTGACTGAAATATGTAAGCGAATGTGCTAGTGACAAAGGTCGCGTAAGGAGAACCGCAAACTTCCCCGCCTCGACCGGATGATGTGATTGGAGCCTAACCAGCTTGACTTCGAACCCCGATGCCCCCTGAAGGGAATGAGAAATAAGAGAGACCCCTAGGAACACGAGCAACAGGAAGTGAACGAGACAGAGACAGATTTCAACTGCGATCCGACCGAAAACCGACGTAAATGTAGCCCTCAGTTATCAAATTATTTCTCAAAACCGTTCATTCCGTTCTATCCCAGTCTCTCTTTTCCATTCCACTTTTCCCTCCTTTTGAGCAGGTTGGGATACACTCTCTCCCCCGTCGCTTTGGCTGTACTGCCGTCCTCGTGGTCAAAGGAGGAAAAGCGCCGGCGCCGTAAAATCTTGCAAAGTAATTGTAATTGTGCCTGAAATTTTACAATTACTGACGCTAGAAAGTAATTAAATTACAATTCCTTTTAGCTAAAAGTAATTAATTACAATTACAAATTGCCGGAAAAAGTAATTAAATTACTGTAATTGAATTACTACCCAAGTATGCTGGTTGGGCTGGTCTGTTTGAACATAGAAGCACTCCCATGAATGGTTGTGGGCCGGCAGTATACGAGTCCAATACTTCCTTTTGTGTGTGTTTATGTGTTCAAGTCGACTCCACCTTTGAAAGGGTGTTGTGAGGGTGTGAGAAGACAAGGCTATAGAGGTGCAACATATAAAAGGGGGGGGGGGGGGGCGGGGGCGACGTGAGGAGGCGTAACTTTTCGTTTGTTTTGAAGGGGCAATTAAATCTCCTTTACCCTGCTTTTCTTGACACCACTGTACTTCGCTGAAGTTACACCATCTTAAATACTTCTGGGCATAACTTTGTATATTACAAATATTTTCAAAGGTTTATATCTAGTACTTTAACTTGATTACTTTTTACAAGCAACTCATATTGACTTCACAAGTTGCTCATAAGTTACTTCTGCCTTTTGTTTGAGGGAGGTTGGAAGGTCAAAACAATAGCAAACCAATTTTTTTTTTGTGCTAGGAAGTCTGAGGGGCATATGTTTTGCCTTGGGTATTTTGGAGCACCCCTGTGCTTGAGGGGAAAAGAGACGTAAGAGTTGCAGTTGCAAAGTAAACAAGCTCATGGGGAGTGGTTTTTTGCCTCTTGACACGGCAAGACTAGGGCGCCTGAATGTCCTTACATTTGGGGTGAGAACAGTCTTTGTAGTACCTGATACCGACTGCACACGTTTGCAGGCCGGGAAAATGCAAAGAAATAAGCTGAAAACTAAATGCCACCGCAGGACACCTAAAGTCATAGAGGTACTTTAAGTACAGCCAATGCCAAGAGCTCATGCTGGAAGATGTGATTTCAAAGCTCCTGAACAACAACAACAACAAAAAAAAAAAAGAAGTGTTTGGAAAAAAATGGTTAGGTGTCATCACTCCATGCAAAGCACACATGAAGACACCCTAGGTAGGACTTAAAAAAATACTTCATCTGCAGGGAAGCGCAAGACAAAGCGATGAGCTCTCTAATTCTGAACCAGGAGGGAATAAGGGTGAATGCACAGGGTCTCCGAGTGGGAGGATATGTCTGTCACAGTCGGGGAGAACTGCTACAAAAGACTGGCAAAAGAGAGTGAACCGAGTTTCTTTTTACAGGTAAGAGTTTAAGAGTGCACCAAAACGAGAAGCTACTTTTGCTGGATACTTCTTTTTAATTTTTTTTATACTAGCCTGGCACAAACAAGCCTGCGGTGATTTTGGAGTTGCAATGCCTGCACATTTATAGCTCCAACTTGTGGCTCATTGCACATGAAATTTGTCTGTTGTATATACAGCTGCTTAGCAAAATCTTGAGATTGAGGAGGTGACCCGATAAGGCATGGTGAGAGAGGGATGCTAAAAGTAACAACTGACCCTCAGTCTCTGATAATGTCCATTTCTTACATGGTGATTCGTTATAGGGCAGCTGGCAACAGGCTGGTTTGCCACAGTGGAACATTGGTCATAGGATGATTAGTCACGGGGTCAACCCGTCGCACAATAGTTCATCCTCTAGAAAATGTTTTGTTCTGTTCGGTTCAGCATGCTTCATCGAGGGTGAAGGAACTGAACCTAACACCGTAGCCTCAGGTCCGGTACCGAATGGGGAACGTGCGGCCACTTGAAAACAACTGTTTTCGAACTCGCTTCAATTTCAAAGATGGAGGTGATCATGAAGGAGAAAGGTGAAACGACGCTGCTTCACAACGGGTTCTTGTATACATGCAACGGGAGGAGCAAAATATTGTTTAATTGGATTTGTCATGAAAGATCTCAATGCAAAGCAAAAATTTGTCTGCTACTTTTGCAGGGGTTATGGCGACTTCAGAATGCTGAGCTCTGATTGAAGGATAGTAGAAAGACCTCGAGGCAGCTTGCCTTGAGGTCTACCCACTATCCTCCAATCAGCCAATCAGAGCTTGGCGTTTCGACGTCGCAACAACCCCTGCAAAAGAAGCTTATGAATGTGCGCTCCGCATAGAAAGTAAAAATTACAACTGATTTGTCTGCCAGTTGGATTATCGCACTTTCAAGCAACTGTACCCTCACGAAAGACCCTACGGAGGTGTCGTCAAAAAAGTGTATGCGTGCCAAAACCTTTTTTATGTTTAGCACTGATAATACTTCCTTTTTAAATCAATGGTGATGCCATAAACTCTGTAGTGCCCGTTTCGTCATCACTTTGACACCGATAAAACAAGTATCGCAGGCTGAAGACGGCGCCAAATTTACAAGTGTGTTAAAAAAATCATATAAATATGCCAACTGCAACAGGCAGATACACTTCATTGCTGGACAGCACAACAGCACCCGCCACATTGACAAGCTAAGGGCAGGGCCCCGAAACACTGTGTTTTAAAATTTTGGAATTCTTATATCAAGATTATAAAAGTTTCCTTCCCAAGTATTTCCTATTTCGAGTATATTTGTGCATAGATATATCTTTAGCAGTCCAAAACAATTATCATGTGGCATTTATGCATAGCCTCATGCTCAAACGATTATGCACATTCATCTGCAGTGCATAAATTTCCATATAGGGTGGTTCAAGTCGCCAGGCTCGATCTAGAATGGACCACAGAAATCGACGCCTGCACGTAGCAATCTAAACTTTTCGTCAAAGGTGTGTTTCACAGGTCGGTTTTTTCTAGTAAAATTACAAAGCGTAGCTCTCTTAGTGTAAAAAACGAGGCCAAGAAACTTGCCAAGGTCTACGGCGGGCAGCGACGCAGACGACAGGAATCCAGTAGCGGGTGTGTTTGGCGTTCGGGCTGATAGATGGCGCTACCTTCTTATCGCGACGGCTCACGACCACCGTGGTTTTTTTTAAAATGAACATAAACCTCTTGAAATATACCTTTGGTTATAAAATAAACGCAAACAATAAAAGCAAAACTTGAAGTAAAAAAATGCATCTACATAACGGCGGCACTTTTGCTGCCAATGGATTTCGTCTGCATGTCGTCTGCTTTCTTCGCTGGTCGGCTGCACCTTCAGACACTGCTTCTGACGCCATCTATCAATACGAACACCAAACACACCCTGCTACTGGAATCCTGTCGTCTGCGTCGCTGCCCGCCGTAGACCCCGGCAAGTTTCTTGTCCTTGTTTTTTACAGAAAGAGAGCTACGCTTTTTAATTTTACAAGAAAAAACCGACCTGTGAAATACACCTTTGACAAAAAGTTTAGATAGCTACGTGCAGGCGTAGATTTTTACGGTCCATTTTAGATCAAGCCTGGTGACTTGAACCGCCCTATATATTCGTTTTTACTCAAGCATCCCATCCTGCTATTCTAGCTGCACAGTAGTCAAGGGACATTGATAGTTACTGAAAATTACGGATTGTAGATTATATCTTTTCCTGCACTCTCGATGCGACTAATTGTCCTATGGACGAGTAGCCCTATGACGAATTATCATGCTACCAGTCGGTCTCTGACGGGTGCGCATGTGACGAACCGTCATCATCCCCAAAGTTAGTTTTCTAATTAACTTATTTTGGATCAACCACTATAAAATCTGCGATGACGAAAAATAAAATTATGCTTTTCGATAGTAATGGAAACCAAAACATTTCGTAAAATCACGCTAAAGCGTAGCAGTATTAACGAAGTCAAAACCTACTAATAAAAAGCAAAATGAAGGGCGACTCTGGCTCATTTTCGGCAGTGCACACTGCACACACGTGCAACAGATGCAACGACTACGCACGCACAGTGCGGGAGTCGATTGATTGAAAGGCAATAGAGACTTATCGAATATGCGGATTTCGGGTCCTGCGATGTGACGGCAACAGCTCCCGTTAGCAAAGCGAAGCTATTGTAGTCCTGGGGTTTTTCGTAAATTTTTGTTTGCGAAACGTCTGCAACCTTCCAATAAATCGACCCGAAAGATGCAACCCTTGTTCAATGGTCACAGCCTCTGAAGCACAAAATTAACTTCAATCAGGACTGCTGTAACCGCTATAGATTGGGCGTTCGGGCAGTTCGGGTGGCAAACAAGGTGGCAAGTTTCCCATCAGGCACAAAGAGGACAAAATGCTGGCGGATGGGAGCTTGGAGAAGGCAACGTACCAATTCACCAACTCGGTTTTGTCACAAACACAATATCAAAACGGACCAGTCTGTTGTGAGCCCACCAGGAGCTTCACACGCACGCAAACTGCACAAAACACACACACACTAAATTATGCCACATTAATTTCAGCAGAAATACACGTTCACAGCACACGACGAAATTCACTGATGTATTTCGCGACGCCGCGACGCCAATCTGGCGGCCGATTATTAGTCACGTGACAGAATATAAAAAGCACGTGACAACTCTGACACGACCTCTATCCCGTGATGCCTTGCAACAAATTCTGGCGGCGGCTGTTCTGTCGGTTGCGTGACCTCCCTGTGATGTTGAGGTTTCTTTTATGAGTAATTAGATTAAGAAGCCTTTAGGCCAGTATTTCTTTTTACACAAGTTTGCATCTTGACCTAATTGGTTTATGCGAGTGCGTTTTATGTTTGTTTAGTGCCACTTAGTCCTCTAAATCGGTTAGGCTTTAAGTTCGCCGACGGGGGGATCCACGCATATTTCTCGGCTCTCACCACACCCAGACTAAAGGAAGCTGGAGAGTACGGCGGTGAGGGTTGATTGGGTATTTGTGACGAGGTGTTAAGGACTAGGGTTTGTTTTTTTTCCTCTTTTCCTCATTTTTCGGAAGGCTGGAGCATCGCGTGGATTGTCCGGTGAACAGCCATTGTGAGTGGTGTGGCACCACGGGGCCGGCGGAGTGACAAACTGGGCGGTGGGTGTTACACAGGAGTCCGCGACCATGATGGCGTGTTGCATTAGTGAAGAAGCGAAAGAACAGAGAAGAATCAACCAAGAGATCGAGCGACAACTACGAAAGGATAAGCGGGATGCCAGGCGGGAGCTCAAGTTGCTCCTACTCGGTAAGTTGCACTCGATCTCGCGAGTTACATGACAGGCCCTGTGGACGGGTAGCCATGTTGGTTTAGGCCTAAAACTTGCCCGTCCTTAAGCCTATTACAATAGCGCCAGTTCAAAACCATTCGCGCAAAATTCACTCGCAATCATATGGTGATCGACACCGTGAGGTTCGGGCCTCGTCCGTGCAAGCGAGTTGTGACAGCTGGCCGGCCTCCTAACGTCGCCGGGTTTCCGCCGGTGGGCGCTCAGCGCTGGCACCTCGAACGTCTTTTCAAACAGCATTTCGGCGGCGGTGGCGATGTTCTCGTGCGTTTTATACGCGTCAGGAAACGTAATGAATCGTCTTCGAGTTCAAGAACCCTCAGCACGCTTGAGATTGGAACTTATCGTACGCTAAACGCAGCTTTAGTAGCGGTGTTCGTCTGCTGGTCACACCTCCCTTCGTTCGTTGCTGGAGTTCCTCACTGCGTTGTTTTCTTTTTTTGTTTGTTCCGGTCGTGCACTCCCCCATTATTTGGGTTCAGAAATCTGTCTGTCTGCAGAGCGTGTTTTCGATTTTCTCTTTCACGTCCTGTAAACACTTGGCTGCTCGCGATGCTCCGCATGTTTTTTCCCTCTGGCGTTTTTTCCCTGCCAATGATCAGTGCGGCAACGACCCATAGTTGCGAATGCAGTGATTGCTGCTTGCCGGTTTCATACACGGTTGCGCAAGTCTAATCAGCTCCTTGTGTTCGAAACGTTGGTGTATATCTCGCAGTATGCAAAATACCGATGTTTAACTTCATGATAGAGGAGTAAAAACAAAAGCTCAACGTTGAGGGGGCGTGATCTCGAACGTATTTGAGTGTATTGGGAACCTAAGTGCAGCAACGGTCGAGCAATCACGGTAGCGGTAAAAGCGTGGCAGACGCACCAACGTTGTTAGCTATTTAGATTCAATGCTGCTTTGTAAAGACAAAAAAAAAAAAAAAAAGGAAACACACTTGTTGCCAGTTACGTTTTTAGTTGGTGGGACAGTACATGATGGTCTTGGTTATCTCGCTTTGTTTTAGACATCTTTTATTTATTTATATTTATTTACAATGCTGCGAACCTTTCAGTCAACTCAGGAGAGGAAAAAAAAATTGTACAAAAGGCAAAATAAACATTTACATACTCATATATGGGCCCTCAGACTTGTACAGGCAGAATGGCCATCCCGCACAAAATGTAACGTATTCTACGAGCATGCATATATTAGACATGCAAACAATCACATGCCGACGATGTGAGGCGGGGTTAATATTATTTGGAGTTTCAATGCAACTATTCTGCTGGATAACTGATCTTGACAAGCATTGCTCAGTATGCCATGTATGGGTTTGTTGGAAGCATGTTTCACTAATATCAGCTTTAATTCTGAAGTATGCGGCAGACTGTTGCTCATGGACTTTCCAAAAATAGCAGAATCCTCGCATGCCTACCCCCTACCCAGACATTTTGTTTGTTCTACATCAAACTTGCTTGTTGCAGAAAAAACATTTCTTTCTCGTTTAGCCATATTCATTCGGTGAGGTTTCTGATATTTATTGCGCATCTTTCGACAACATTTTACCTGAAGGGGTGTATTTGGAAACGTTGTGCAACCAAAACAGACATTATTATAACAGCCTACTGCTCTGTGACTATAAGCCAAAAAGCAATTGTTCTTGTGTCATTATGTAGCTCCTTGTGTGAGCTGAATCCAGCTTCTGGCGACTTGCTGAAGTAATCGGCTGCAGCGATGGCATACCTGCGGTGTCCGGGAAAACTTGTAAATGACTTGACAAAGTCTGCTTCCTTGCACCTGTTGGGAAGGGTACTGCCTGCATCAAAGCTGGTGCTGTGTATACAATCTTGTCATGTTTCGGGCAGGCTATGCAGCTAGTGATGATTTCGCATCCATTCTTAGCCTCCAGTAGCGGTCTCACAGTCTGTTTTGTTTGTCCAATTCCTGGATGAGATTTGTGAATGATGTCCATAATCTGACGAAGTGTGGTCGGTGGGACAGTCTTCCGGTTACATAGAACCAGGCCTTGAACCACTGTGAGTTCTTTCTGCAGTTTGAAGAAGGGTAGCAAGGTATGTTCAGCTTATAACTCAGAAAAATTTGAAGACCTGATAATATCAGCAACTTTCGCTAGCGTGACGTCTTGCAAAGTCTTGTTCTGACGCTTTGCAAGTGTGCTCGAATGGCACTTATTATTTTTTTATGCCTTTGACATCGCTGAACTCTGTTGTCAGAAGGGGGATCCTGTCAACTGCGCCAATATGTTGTATTGTGAGGAAAGTGGACTGACAGTGAATTACCCTAGTCAAAGTATGCAACATCTTTATTTTATGCATCTTCTTCTCTTTTCGGCTTGCAGCACCTTCAGTTCTCAATTTTTCTTCCACAGGCAACACGACATAACTAACCTTGACTCATTGCCTCACTCATTTGAAATATGCCCATTCACTCCCCTCCCGGTCAGGCGTGGGATGAAACGGCGCTTTCTATGAGCTGACTGTGTGTGCTCAGTACAGTTTGACTCGCTGTTGTTATCAGACGTCGTTCGATTGATTTGTTTCTGGTATAATTTCAAAGTTGTATAGGTGCTGACATATAACTCGTGACAATGCTACGCTACTTATTGCGCATGAAAGTTGAAACTTGATCCTAAAATTGACAGTCGAGGCCTGTTTCTGTTCCTATTGTATGCATAATGCTGAAATGTCGAAAAGCCAAACATTATGGTGAATGCATCAAGACATCTCCATCCATTCAAGAAATATGCGCCCAACAAGATGATCATAGTATGCCAGATGCTGATGTGACGTCACTCACTCCACTATTTTGTGACACGCCTTGCATGTCCAGTTCGGCCGTAGTGATCCAGAATGATAAAGGCATTAATCAAACAAAAGCGTTAACAACAAACGCGACACGGCAATGCACAGAAATGAAAGTGACCTCACAGTGGTTGGGTTTCTTGTGTGTCGCTTAGTTGTACAAGTTTACGTCATGGTTTTTAAATATTTGTTTCGTTCAATCGATTCTGCGAATATCAAATACATGTGTTCCATTTTATACTTTCGTTTCTTTCCATCAATTTTGTGACTTACAAATACATGTTACATTTCATTAGACTGCACATAGAGGTTGTCACACTTAAACTTTGCGAGTGCGTCATATATGCAGTCTACCCAGTTTCTTTTTTAAATGGGGAGCAGAAACTATTCTGCACTTTTGTTTTGTGATGTTTGATTGCATCACTGGTGGTTCGTCGTCAAATTGAGTATATTAGAGTCTGTGTGAGCCCTGAATCTCTGCCCATATCCTTCCATGGAAAAGCTAGGAGTACAGCAAGGAAGTCAGTAAAGGTGCCAGTGAAATGCATTCTTGCGATAGAGCATTTGAAGAACGTGGAAATGCGATCTGTGAATATCGAAGTCAATTAGAAAGGGTGAAACCACTATTGGAAGCACTTGCATGGGCTTTCATAATTTTTGAAAAAAATCTGAACGTGCCACAGATTGACAGGCAGTCTCTTGTTCACAGCAGTACCACTTTGGCACTGGTACTGTGACCGTGGTCAAAACATGGGAACATTGGAACTAGAGCCACGAAATGAGACACACTTAGGGTATCGACACTCTGTTCCCGATATTGTTGTGGGCGCCACCATCTTGGTGTTTGTGCAGAGCAGATGCAACTGCCAATCGTCATTATTCAAAATTGCAACTTCCTCAACATTAGATTTAGTGTTGGGAAGCCCATGTAATATAGCTTTGCTCTGTCGCAAACTGTTTAAACATTTGTGGAGGACGTAAAAGCATTTCCTCTGATTTCAGTTAAAGCTTCAGATAACTGGCAGCTATGATTTTAAGCCACAACATGGGCTATTGTCGCTACTCTGAAGCATAGCTAATTTACTGGCACTGCTTGGAACGTTACTCTGGCAGTGTTTACAAAACAAGGTGTTCTCCTTGACTTTAACAAGCCTCAGCCTCAGTCAGCTTGTGAGCGCACCCTGCTGCACCACAAATCTCATTGAGACTGGCCCCTGAAATCTGCGATTTCAAAAGCCATGGAGAGAGGTATATGAAAAGAGCTTTTTGCTGCATCTACTGCAGGAAAGGGGATCCTGCTAGAAATTCCGAGCTTGCATTTATCCTCGTGGCTATGCTCTCACGTGCAAGTACAAGTGTGTTCAATGTTTTGGTAATTTTTATTTCTTGAGAATATTTTTAACTTAGATGGTTGTGCAGACTGCTTGTGGCTTTCTGAAAGCTGAATTTGAGCATGACCATTTCTAAGGAGTTCCGATAATCAAAACTATGTACGGCAGAACCTTTTCTGAAAGCCAGCCACCCCCAGTTGGAATACAGGCATACTGTGCTTTCTATAGCACTGAAAGGGTTTGGCGAGTTTATTGTGTTTGTAAAAACTAAGTGCCTTTTAGTGTGACAGTTAAATACTTCATTGGTATAACGAGGACATTTTTCACAGGGGCTGATTGTGTCCTGGGTTCATAATCACCAGCATTATGGGGCACAATATTTTTTTCCAAAGGGGTGATGCCTGTCTGTTACTTTTACAGGAACGGGGGAGTCTGGAAAAAGCACCTTCATCAAGCAGATGCGAATCATCCATGGCCATGGCTACAATGAAGAGGACAAGAAGGGCTTCATCAAGCTTGTCTACCAGAACATCTTCATGGCAATGCAGAGCATGATAAAGGCCATGGACATGCTAAAAATTCAGTACACAAATCCAGACAACATCGTAAGTAGTCAGACTTTGTTTGTGGCTTCTTACTTTCGAGACAATCTCTGAACAGGTTTCTCAGGGTATCGTACAGATATTTTATGCCCCCTTAACCTACAGCAGGAATGTGAAGCCCATTTTGTGCAGGTGCCCTAATTGGGCCTGTTGTAAATGTTTAGGGTTGTCAGAGCAAAACTTAGTTTCATCTTGGAGTGCTAACTGTGCACTCCAAGTGCAACTGTGCTGTGAGTAGCCAGAAATCTCAAATTATTGTCACATGGCCTCTTGCTTCAAAGAATGGTAATAAGGCCAGAAGTAAATAAGTGTGCAAAGCCACCATTGAAATAAATTTCAAATACCCATCTGAAAGTGAGGAACATGTTTTGGGTCTGCCTTGGTTCAGGGATGCAGTTCTTGCACACAAGTGTGGTAGTTTGCTGCAGGTTAAGGAAAGTGAGATAAGCTTCTCCCACAAAGCTCTTCACTCTTTCTACTTTAAGGGAGCAAATTCTGGGGAGGCGAGTGGAGAGGAGGAACCCACTAATCATTTTAAGCGGAGAGCATTGTGCGAGGGCTTGTTTGTGTATTCTAAGCCGGCAACAGACTATACCTCCAGGCTTTGAAAGGATCTGCTGTGTAAAAATGTAAAACTTGAGGTAATTTGATCCATGGTATGGGCAGTATGAACCAGCACTGCAGACTTATTGAACATGTTGCTCTCTAGTGTGTCATATGCCTAAAGTAAAAAACTAAAATGTAGCAACTTCCTCACCAAGGCTTCCCAAGTCTTGGCCACTGCTCACATGCTGAACGTTAATCGCCTCTTGCACTTTGCACGCACTATTTTAGCGTACCCCTTTTTTCGGACATTGCACGCATATGCAAAGAGTTTATGCGTTCCTCTGACGGACGCATAGACGGTAAGTTGGCTAAAGCCGAGACGAGCGCAGTTAGAAAATGGCGGCTCCCGGGATGGCTGTCGTCGTGAGCACGTCGGCGGCGACATCCCCACAATTGAAATTTTTAATACGGGACGACATTGCTTTCCTATGGGGGATGCATGTCACGAACGGTTTGGAATACCCAGGAAGGTAGGCAACAGCCGCTGACAACCTGGCATTGCGACGCACAAACATTTCTCGGCAAAGGTATGGTGTTTGTTTTGTCAGTACACAAAATCTTTCTTGCTGAGGTGACTGATGCAAGCGGACACGAGCAATCGACTGCTCGCGTCGTATTCTCACATTTGAACAAATCTAAAATGTTACTTTAGAGCAGAAAAACTAGTTTTTTCTCAAGTTACAGCATTTTGTGCATAAAATAAAAATTGTTACTGTATCTTTATGGCGTTGCAAGTGCAAGATGCTCTGGTCTTTGCATCGCAGTGGAGAAATGCTATTCTAAAACTCTCATGTAGCAATGTGGTAACGCAAGTGCTATAATTTAGTGCTGGCGTTCGCTAAAATTGCATATATGCAAACATTCTTATTGTTGCATATGACCATATCTCGAAACAGACATTGTGCAATCTTATATTCAGATGGTTGTATTCAGACTGCAAGCTTCATTTGAGATGCTCAACTGAAGCACGAGAGTCTGACAAAGACGTGTCCCAGTTGTGGCACCTCTCTCCAGCCGAAAATTTGTGCCATCTTACAGATGTGTACAAGCAGTCAGGCAGTAGGCACACACCAGTTCCGCTCCTCCGTGTCTCTAGGAATTAGATGCACAATGCCACTGAGCTACAAAAATGATGGGGCAGCACTTTGCACCACACCTTTTGGGACATCATTCAGAGCACTTCACTATCAGGGATAGAACTACGCCGCACTGATGCACCGCACTGATACAAAAGTATAAATAAGAATGGAATTGCGTCAAGGTGCGCCTAAAGTGAAATTATAAACAATCCTCATCAAAATTAGCTGTTTCGCAGTTTTTGTTGGCGACATCGACATCGGAGCTTCCGACCCAAAGGGAACGCCAGGGAATCCGAATCCCAAGCTCTGTATCCAAAAGTTGCTGCCACAGTGGTCGTTGCCATGGTTAGACTTCGTTTCAGCTTAGAACTGCTGTTGCACCATCCCTCATTGCGATGCTTCTACTACCAGGGGCCCTCATCTAGTCAAACATAAAAGCTGGAGCCGAAAGTTCGCAGAATGTGCTGACTGGGCACGGGCGACAAAAATGCACAGTCATCGTCGTGACTGTTCAATCGGTGTAATCTGTCAGCTTCGGCCCCAACTTTGTGTTTGAAGAGTTTAGGGCCCCAGACCTCTTTGAAGCCATTCGCTGTTGCTCTGCTTCGTCTAAGTCCGCACGCAGATGATGCTACAAGCGCGAGCTCTGGGCCTTCAGCATCCCTCCCAAGAACGCGCCCTTGTGCACTGCGAGCACTGTTGAAGGCCACATGCTGGCGCTTGTAGCATTGCCTGCGTCTGGACATAAGCTGAAACGAAGTACAGCTGCCATTGCTGTGTGCTTTCCTGGAGTCTTGCAGTCACTTCATCTTAATAGTGGAACAAACAGCGCTGCCATATTGCCATAAACTCGAATGTATCAAAGTTGGTGCGCCTCCTTTGCTGTACTACCACTGTTTAGAAAAATCACAGTTTATACGCAGTGCCCACACATGCAAAATCAGTCCAGCCAGCTCTCACTTGCAATAGACCTATTGCTATATTACTCAAGCATCAAGGAGAATGCATGGATTGGTGTTCTCCATGCGCCGCACGTGCTGGCGTCAGCAGTAGTAACGTTTCTAGAGCAAAAACCTAAAACAAATGGCATCTTGCATGCGCGTTCGTCAACGCTTTATTTTAGTTTTTACTTCGAATCTTTTATACGGGGAAGGCATGCACGTGATGTGCGTGGAACACCAATCCCTGCAATCTCCTTCATGCTTGGGTAATATAGCAATAGGTCTATTGCGACCAGCCAGAGACTGCACGTGCATAACACAAACGCAGCAATGAACGTGCCCTAATAACCTTTTATGGAAAGGTGTATTGCAAGCCTGCAGCCAGCATTTGCTCGCCCTGAGGTTCTGTGCAGAAGACTTGGGAACATAAGAAAGGCGAGAGAGCGGTGAGGCGAATTGAAAAATGTTTCAAATAAAACTTTAATTGAAACTAACGTTCACTTGCCCCAACGACCTCTCAGACTTTAAAGAGGAAATCGTCAAACGGTCAAAACAACTGGGTTTGGTGTCCGTGTACCATAGTTTCGGTTGTGACTCCGCCGGGGCAGCCGTTCACACAGAATCGGTGCGATGTGGCCCCTGACGTTGCTCACAAACGTCCACTGTGCGTTCTCTCCAACCTCATACCGTTTCAAAGAATTTGAGATCACTGAAAGGGCCCTTAAAGAACTTCAAGCTCGAAAGTCGAGCGTCATCTGCTTGCAGCCGGTTGTTGGCAGGACGCCGGCGAACACAACACTTCGGGTGGTGGCGGTTTGGAGTCGTCGGAGAAACTTGACTCGCAGGACTGCTCGATATTTGACGTTGCTGCACTGGCGCGGATCGCGTGGAAACTTCAAATTCTGCATTTAAAAATTGTTTTTTTTTTTACTTTGCAAATACTGAATTCCCGAGTTTCGAATTTGGAGGGTAACATCCAAACATTATTTTCAATCGTTTTAAAGCTTTATGTGCGGCCAGGAAAAAGGAAACCACTGAATTCCTCCTTTCCATATCAGGAAGGAGGAAACCCCCCGCCTTTTTGTAGTGCTTGCTCCCAGACCCATCCTTTATGGGCAAGCAGAAAAAAAGGTGTGAGAAGGATGCAGGGAGAGTGCTTTCTGCCAGTCAGAAAGCGATCATGCGAGTTTGCCTTTAAAGACACCACGAAACGGTTTTGATTTTTTCAGGAATTGGAAGTTTAGATTTAGCTTCCTCTGTCTCGGTATAAGAAAGTTAAATGTAGCTTTTTACCGGAACATACAATACATTAATGTTCTGATCAACTGTGTACGGTGATGCATTCCTTGGTAATAAATAGTGCGGCCGATCAGTGCACAATCTGCGAAACCCTTTTACATAATTCAGTCCGGCCGTGCTTAGCCCAACTACCCGGTCTTTGAAGCCTACTCTGTTTCATACTTATTGTACAGCACTGCCAAAGCTATAAATGCAAGCATGTCACTTTATTGAGCATCTCATTTGCACGGGAGCCCGTCGAAATGAGTTGCCCGACGAAGCCATGCTCTTATGCCAGTAGCTATGACAGTTTTGTAACAAATTATGGAGCATAGTACAAGTGAAGAGTTTGGAAGCCGCAGTTTCTAAGAACGTTGTCGCAGTTTGACTTGTTCGGTTGTTGTTGTTTTGCAGGAGCACGCCAACTTGGTCGGGACGGTAGACTACGAGACGGTGACGACATTCGACGGCCCCTATGTGGTGGCGATCAAGAAGCTCTGGGCCGACGGAGGCATCCAGGAGTGCTACGACCGACGTAGGGAGTACCAGCTGACAGATTCTGCCAAATAGTGAGCGCACCCCTTTTCCTCTGCATCTGTTGGGACCGAGGGTTCGGCCAGGTCATTGTGATCTTGGCACCTTTCGTATCCTCTGTTATGAACCGCCGTAGTGCTCTCGTGCAAGCCGACCTCCTCAGCAGAGCCTGCACCGATCATCAGTGGTGCTGGCAAAGTGCTGCAATATTACAATTCCGAATCTGGGCATAAAATGTGGCCTTTCATTATAAGTTTCAGTTTGTCATAATGATTTATCAGACAACTTGTTGCAAGCAATTACCATGCTACCGTATATTGCCGCATATAAGTCGACCCCCCAAATCCCAACCCTTACTAACAAAAAAAAAAAAAAAAAAAAAAAATTTTTTTTCCTTTTTACAAAAATGTAAATTTTTAGAAATGAACATTTATTTGAACTTAGCACACGGATGTGTCAGGCCTCGTCGTCGTCGTTTGACACAACGACGCAGTGGCTGCTGTGCTTGCTGTCGGCGTCTTGCGGGTCACTGGAGCCGGTTGGGGGAAGCGTCGTCAAAATACTTTGAAAAGACCTCGTGGACCGTGTCGTTTGGAAGTCCATACCAGGCGTCGTTGACCCACTGGGCCACAGTGCTCAACGATGCGCGCTTCACACACCCCGTCGGTATCTTGGGGTTGCTGTCCCGACTCATCCACTCGTTCTGGAAGAGACTCACGCGGTCCTCGAACGGCTTGTTGAGCACCATGTCAAGGGGCTGGAGGGTCGACGTCATACCGCCTGGAATGATGACGAGGTCACACCCTGCGTTCCCTACCGCCTTCTTCACGCGGTCCGTGATGTGCCCCCAAAACGAGTCAAGAACAAGCATGCTACAGGGTTTGAGGTGGGCACCTGCATCAGATGCATCAGACCAGTTGGAACCACTCAAGCACCGTCTCTTCGTTGAAGTAGCGCTTTTCGTTTACCCGAATGATGACTTTCGGCGGGAATCGTTCGTTGGTCAGCATCGTCTTGCGCTTGAAGATCAGAAAAGGTGGCAGCTTGTGGCCTCCTGCCGTGCAACATAACATTGCTGGGAGGTGGTTATGCTCATTGCCCGTCATCAGCAGACGAACCTGACGAGCTCCCTTCTTCGTAACGGTTCTACTGCTGGGCATATCGAACCAGACCGGTGTTTGGTCGGCGTTGCCGATCTGTCCGAGCGTGTAGTCGTTCTTCGTCCTCAAGTCGGCGACGTAACGATGAAAGCTATGCAGCTTCTCTTCGTTTGCGTCGGGCAGCCGCTGACAAACGGTAGTTCGCCTTCTTATGCTTAAGTCGTGGCGCTTCATAAAATTTGCCATCCACTTCTTCGATATCTTGAAATCGCTCCGGTCAATATCCATTTCATTGGCGACAGTGCGTGCCTTGCATTCAATGTCTTTGTAAGGCATGCTGAGGCTCTTGTCTCGTTGCTCTCGCACCCATTCTTTCACCGCTTCCTCGACGAGAGGAAACTGTCCTTGCTTTGGACCGCGGAAGGATCGACGGGTACCGGAGCATGCCGATATCTTGTCACGCTGTTGCCGCCATCATCGAACGCACCTCTCCAAATCGCCGAAGCTGCGTTCGGCTGCGACATTATTCTTTTCTTCGGCATACAGAATAACTTTACGCTTGAAGAATGCGCTGTACTGATGCCGTGATTTTGGAGGCATCGTTGCCGTTCACCGAGGAAGTCACAAAACCTGAGTTGCGGAGTGCCAAATCACAATGGGGCTCCAGCGTGTTGCATCCGACGATTCAGTGATTCAGCCGCAATGCATATATGAAACTATCCCTTCATGATGGGAAAAAAGGGGAAAAGTCCCCAAGAGCAGGTGAAACGTCCCTACTATCTCTCCTTCAGCTCAAAATTCCGCGCGAACCCGCGTATAGGTTGACACCTCCACATATAGGTCGACCCCCCTAATCTTAAGTGCACATTTAAAAAAAAAAAAAAAAGGTTGACTTATACGCGGCATTATACGGTAGTAGATTGCAATTCTTTTTTCCTTGGCAAAAAAAAACTTTTTTAGGGTTAACTTGTTACTAGGCTTTTGTTGTAGTTAGTGGTGGCAACCTGTGCTTGCTTCCTCCTTCACCAAATTCTTTTCTTGGGCCCCATATTCGGTGAGGCCTGAGAGGCCTGCAAAGTCTGAGGGGAGACTCTTTTTCCAACCGCTGTTTTCCAACCAGTCCCACTAGCTATTGATATTCAGGCAACCAGAAACAAGTAACATAAAGCTGGAACCACGTAAAGCTATTGCAGACAATCAGGCTGGGCTGAAACTAAAATCTGCAGTACGGTGTTGACAGAGAGTCTTAGTAGTGTACCGCAGCTGAAGCTTCTTGAAGTCTTTTTGGTTTTTGACCATCTTGTAAATAGCATAAAATGTGCCAGTGCATAAGACCTGTGCCTTGTGTAGCTCTTGGCAGCAAATGGTGTTACAGCACTGAAATGAGCGACCCCTGGAAGCGAATGACGGTGGAGAACTTGCTTGTGGCACGTGTCGTGCGCATGCACGACAATGGTTGTCGGCACTTGTAGGAAACATGAAGAGTGAATTTTATCAAGCTCCTTAAAGGGCTACTCCACCGATTTTTTCATTGTCTCCGATTTGCTTGAAATTTTGCTAAACTAACCAACAAACATCGCGAAAATAGTATCCCAAATATTAGGTCAAAATATTGTTTTTTCGCGAAGTTATTGAATTTAGAGTTTTGGTCGTCACCGTGTTTTTCAAGCTCGAAGTCTCTACTGGCAACAATGAAAAAGTGACGTCAGTGGAAGGCAGGGGTTCACTCTTTGAGCTGTAGATTTTGTTTTAAACTGATTCGAAGCAGTTTCATGGTGTCAAATGAATGCTTGGGAAGCTCGCTGCAGTACCCGCGCTCCAGCGCGGAACAAATGATTGGCATATTCTATTTTTTGGCTGCTTGCTCGACTGGCAAGCCTGCCTGCCACTGACGTCACGGCCCTGAAAAGCGCGCATATATTTGAATGTTGGTTTTTGCATCATTTTTATTTGCCGATTTCGCAATAACTATTATGAATTTCGCGATTCTAAATAGCATACCGGAGAGAGTAAAGGCCGGGGAGTCAGAAAATATAGTTAGGTGAGGTAGCTCAAAAAATCGGTGGAGTATCCCTTTAACTGCAAGACCACCCTTCCGTATGTCTTTTTTTTTTTTTTTTTAAATCTGTTGTTAGTTATTGTGTTACTCTGCTTGTTTGAGTGCTGCATTGTTTATTATTGAGTGTTGAACTAAAATCATTTGTGGTAATTTGTTTTGTGCTCAGCAGTTCATCAAAATGCACAACTCTGCAGAGTTTACAGGTGGGAAGTGCGTAAACCAACGTGTGTGTTCTAGTGATGCAAAACTATCGATAAATCGACTATCGATACTATCGATGGTTTTGGAAAAACTATCGATAGTGTCGCAGAACTGTCGATAGTTTTTCAATAGTCGACTATCGATAGTACTATCAATAGTGTTTCGACAGTCGACTATCGATAGTATTATCGATAGTTTTGCACCACGAGAGCGAACACAGTTGCCGCACTGCAGCTCGCCTCCCTTCCTCCTCTTTTAGCCTAAACTCCCGTCTTCGGCATCACTGAAAGCTGAACCAAAGTTGGGACAGTAAGTGCTTGGGCTAGTTGGGTATCCCATTTTGAAAAAATAAAGCAAGAAACAGAAGAGGGAGTGACGCAAACTACTAGAGTCGCAAAACTATCGATAGTAAGCCGTCGACAGTACTATCGATAGGTTTCTGATAGTCTACTATCGATAGTTTTTCGATAGTCGACTATCGATAGCACTATTGATAGTGTTTCGATAGTCGACTACCGATAGTACCATCGATAGTTTTTCGATAGACGAAAATCGATAGTACTATCGATAGTTCCTCGATAATCGACTGTGATAGTTTTTCTATAGTCGACTATCGATAGTACTATCGATAGTTTTTCGATAGCTGACTATTGATAGTACTATTTATAGTTCTTTTTTTTTACTATCGATAGTTTTTTTACTATCGATTGTCAGATTTCTGGCGACTATCGATACTATCGATAGTACTATCGATAGTTTTGCACCACTAGTGTGTTGCCCTACAGCAGGGCTTCAAACTTTTTGGCTAAAGGGAGGGGTTAAGCACCTGTCGCAGTCTCGATGGCCGGGAAGAAAAAAAGTAATTATAAACAAAACAAAAAAAAACGAAATGAACAAGCCTAGGTAAGATTTTAAACAAAAAATTAATGTTAGACTAAGTATTAAAAAGAAAACCTAAGTTGGATTAATACATCTACTGTAAACAACTTAAAGGGACCATGAAATGACCTTTTTACTTTTGCCAGATAACTTTTACAATTAACTTTCAACATTCACTCAACGTTGAACAGGCATCCGTTTTCGTCTCGGTTTATTACCTTCTGCACAAAAAAATTAATGAAATATCGACTTTTTCTTTCTCTCTAACTGACCGCAAAATAAGTTGCGGCTTAGTTTTGTTGATCGTGACGTACCCTGGCACAGGAACCGGAAGTTCTCTTGGCTGCAGGAGAATGGGAACGTTGGTGGCGGCGAGTTGGGGGTGCGCCGGTAGGTTTTACTGCAAGCGTGACGCTGATGTCACCGCTGTATTTTCTGAATCGGCGCCTCTCATCGCCGCGATAGCCATGGACATATCGCAGCTGATCGAAATTCAATGAGATATGTTGCGCTACAGTGACAGCATGGGACTAGTCCCATACGCCGGTATGCCTGTTGGGAAGCGTGGCGAGTCTTCCGGTGAAGACTCCAGAAGTCAACCCAACTGTCATTGTTGGTAAAAGGCAGCCTGTGTTAGTCGTTTGCAAAGCAACGTAGATGGAAACAAATCGTAGCGGCGTTTTTCGCGGCCACAGATGCAGGAGCGAGCCGAAGTTAAAAGAAGATGCGTTTGAACTACGACAGTGTCAGCAAGACCCACGTAAATACCTGTTCACACTCGGAGCGAACGCATGCGTTTGATGGAAGTGCTGTATTCGCACTGTTGGTAAGCGTTTCGGGACCAATCTTTTACAATTTAAACTCGATACTGACGTGACACTCGGCAAAGGAAGGTTGGACCGGCATTGCACATAGCTCCTACGAACTGCTGTAGCTCGACAGTGACGTGCAGTCGTGTCAGAATAAAAATGGCTTACTAATAACGAAGTGTACATACCGTGTTATGAAGGTAATCCATACGACATTCGTTTAAGCTCTATATCACACAAAACAAGAAGATAGAATCGACGAGAGTCCCTTTTCGACGACAGTGTTTGTCAACACTGCCTCAAAAAACAAGGGGAAGAGATTGACCTCACCTCTTAATCTAAAATTGAGGTCAGCGATCAAACTATAATACGGGAAGGGTCCACAAGGGTCGCGTGGGAAATTCCATTCAGCATGCCAGCCGGTCGTGGCAGACGGTCTTGGCCAAGTACCGTTGAAGCAACGCTGCGCAGAGTCGAAGTGCCTGCTAGGCCTATCTGCCGAGCTCGCTTGGTCGGGGTCGGTGGATTCATTGCCGTTGTAGCTTTTCTTGGGTGTTTGTGGATCCAGCATTCTTGTTCGTTGTGGGCTGTTTCAAGTACTTTTTTCTTGCTGCTTGAAGCCGGGACATGCGAGAACACATAGAAAAATAAACGTTCGTTGGTTGTCGCGGCCAAGTAGCTGAACGACTTTGTCGGCCCTACTGTAGTTGCTTCGTTTACCACACGATAGATGGCGCTTGGCTCTCAGCATTATCAAATTTGGTAATTTTCGTCACATCTCTAACTTTGCTACAAAATGTGGATCTGAATATTATTTAACAAACTTTTAGGGAACATTCGCCGGCTATTTATTGTTCAAGATCGTGGTGCTGGTGAGGTACGCTCTTACCCAATAGGCGACGTGGATTCCGCTGACATGCTGCGATTCGCAAATGCATCTCAGTGAAAAAGGCAGAGAGCTTTCGAAGGAAAGAAGGCCAGTTTTCTTTTAAATGTTCTATAGCGAATAAGTTTTTTTGGCTCCCTAATTTTGTGTTTTTGTGTGGATGAAATTCAATTTCAGAGTCGTTTCATGGTCCCTTCAATTTTCGCGAATGGCCTACAATTCGTGGAAAAAGGGTCCCGTGAACAATTCTGGTAAAATTTAAACACATTTTAAATCTATATTGAGATCCCACCACATCGCGAAAATTAGAACCTGCAAATTATTTCAAAATTTTAGCTTTGACCTAAATCACGAGATATTGAATCTGCGAAAAATAAGTTGCTTACAGTATTTCAATTTGGAATTTAATATTTTGCTAATTAGGGCATTACACAACAATTGTGACCACAGAAACTCGGCAAGCATAAATTAAAGCGCATGAAAACTTTGACACATTCGCCCAGCGCAAAAGACTAGTAAGAATTTATAAACCTAATGCGGACAAAATGTACATAAGAACGCGAAGGAATTTTAACGTAGTTACACAACCATGAAGCTGGGGACTAAAATAATGATACTGATGACAATGTTCAGTCATGGCGAGAGAACCGCGTTACGACGCAGTTTTCTCTCGTTCCTTCTTGTACCTTCTTTTGCACATTCGGAGCACGTCGCAGTGCCGTTTCTTTAGGCGGACATCTTTTTGCGCGGGCAGCAGTGGGCCTGTTCGAAGCAGGCTGCGGGCCAAACTTCTTTGGGAGGACTGCGGCCAGTCGCAGGACGGTCAGAAGACTTCTGCAAGCTAGGGTAGTGAAACGCCGGTTCTACAACACAATTTTGTATCAGTCCTCCAATAATCTGTGAAAAGTTGTTTGTAGGCTTTTGAAGAGACCTAGTTCTTCGCTCTTGTTTGAGAGCAGGAATGGCTAATTTGTCAATGTTTCTGTCATTAAGTTTTAGTAAGCTTTCTGAGCTCTTTTAATTTCCTGTAGTTTGTATTTATACCTAACATTCAAGGAAAAAGGTGGAAACTTATCTTTTCATAAAACGGAAATCCTAGGCGCCAGTCTTCTGCATTTCTGGACCCCGCTTCAGCTTGACTTTACGAAGGCTATGGCCTGAGCAAGTCATGTGCTTCGCTCCGTCACTCTTGATTAGCACCAAAAGGCTGTAGTAATTTGACACCTCTATAGAACACAGGCAATTGTCATAATAGTTTCACAAAAGTAATATACCAGTTGCTCTTGGTGAAAGCTTTACTGATAACCAGCGGTTTGTCGTCTCCACCTGTTTTTCAATGTGTGCGCTCTGCAATCCCTTGGTTGCCAGGCAAGTGTTGACTGTGTTCGTATTTGTTTGTGCCTTGCAGCTACCTTAGCGATGTGGACAGAATAGCTGCCACAGACTACCTTCCCACACAACAAGACATCCTTCGGGTGCGAGTGCCCACAACAGGGATCATTGAGTACCCCTTCGACTTGGACTCCATCATCTTCAGGCAAGTCCCTCTCGGGGCACATTCAGTTCTACTTGCCTGTATGTGCAGGAACTCTGCATATAGCCATGGGGCTGAGATGCTACAAACAATTTCTGTTGGGTGGATTGGCGGCGAGAAACGCTGCCTGCCTTGGTTGCTAGCTGACTGTGAGGGATCCGAGGCATCTTGTTGAGGTTTGTTGTGAGTCGGCGGCAGTTAATGTTTGGACGCCTGGTTTCTAGATACACTGTTGCGTGCCGTTTAATGCTACCCAGTGCGACAAAAATATGGTGAAAGAAAATATCACTACTCAAACTGGGGACATTTTAGTGCCCTTTGATGAAGTTTGGAGAATCCCCACAGTGCCTAAATGCCAAGGAGAAAAATCAAAATGCATATGGTCACTGCTTCTGAAATGGCTCTGCAACAGCCTGCGAGTCCACCAGAATAAGTTACAATGTCCACTTCCCTCACTTTATTTTATTTCTCTTTAAAGAGGTTACATGAGTGCTGTGTGCAACATATTTTAAGCAGTGTCCCGAACAAAAAAACAAAAAACAAACAAAAAAACTATGGGAATCTTGAAAAACTGCTAAAAACCTCTTACCTCCAGGCGCAGGACAAAAATTACTTTTTGGCACTATTTACTGTTATGATTAGTCCAAAAACAGTACAATAAATAAAAGAACCCTCAGTAGGGAGCCCCTTGTTAGACACGGACCACTTCCATGCACAGAAGAGTGTCCACTGCATGGTCTCACTATTACCAGGTGTTCCCATGTGTGATGTCTTGCCATACCTGTTGATGTACACCTCCGTCGTTTGTAGTTTTTGTGTGATTATTGATGGATGTTCAAAGCTTCAGTAACAAAATTCATGTGCTTTGCAAAAAGTAATATTTTCCAGTAGAGGTATCTGATTCGTCCGACGTCGCTCAGAACTTCCAGTCACCTGTCTCAAAGTTTAGAATCCTATAGCCTATATTATTTTTATTTCTTGTGTATAGTTTACCAGGTCCATTTCATGTGGAAGACTTGGAAAGCGCATTCATGCATCCACGCACAAATCGGTTCAGAGCATGTTTCAATGTTTGCTACCGTAATGTCTCAATGGCATTGCAAGTGTCACTCTCACTGACAACAATTTTGTTGAGATTGACCAAAGATCACAACCGCTTTTCTCTAGCTTACCACAGAAATTGAGCTATCGCGACTATAAATATAAATTGGAAAATGTTTTAGACGGCTGGAAGAGACGTTAACATGACTTGGAAATGGAAACTGCTAAGAATACTGGCATCCGCAAAAATGGCAGTTTCTCCTGCTAGGCAGCTTGGAAAACCCCTAGATTTAGTGGGAAAACTGCTAAATTCGCAACACTGGTTTTGAGTCAAAACACAGTCAAACCCAGTTACGATTGGGTCACTGGGTTCATGCTGCATCATTGACACTGAATCAAAGCATGGTCTACAGATCCCCAGGAGGCGGGTTTCGAATCCTGGCTGAGATGCCCGTAACATAACAAAGGCTTATTGCAGGGAAGGTGCTGTGTTCCGTAAAACCTGCATATAATACAAACCCGTGCATAACACAAAGCATAACTTGAGGATCGCGAAAAAAAGAAAAGTTTTATCCGCGTATAATAAAAAACAATTTGAGGAGTGCGAAAATTTTCTGCATAATATGCGACCCCAGAAGTCTCAAGAAAAATGTTTATTTGCGTCGTAATCTAACCTTAATCACTGTCATCACCTCCATCAGACTCCTTGTCCGACACCTCCTCCGAAAGGCAGTTGTCCTCAGCTTCAGTGCTGTCGAGTGCATTTGAAATCCTGCGCTTCTTCAAAGAGCGAGCGACAAGCGTGCACCGCCGATGCAGTGAAAACTTGGTGCGGCGCATAAAGCAAGCAATCCAATGCCGGCTCGCCAAAGTTTTTTCACATTCTCTTGCAGCAGCTCAATGTTTACGGTGAGGTGCCATTCACGTTGCCCTTTTACAAAGTCGCTGAGACTTGCCTCGACGTTGGCAAACATGCAATTCTTTGGGCCTCTAAAGCTCTTTCTTGTTTCGCTGCACGCAAACGGAGCTTGCTTTTGTCGTCTCCATCCGCGGATGCTGCATTCATTTACGGCGAATTGTCGTCCGGCAGCACTGTTGCCGATAGCTTCCGCAACCAAAAGGACTATTTTTAAGGCAGCGAAGTATTGTTTTCGCTCCGACGCCATTGCCTGCCCGACTGTGGATGGATGGTGGCGCCTCGGGCATAGTGATTTTAATGATGATGATAGCTGTTTTGAATGCCATATTGCTTCGAAATCGAAACTATCAAACTGCGTTAGATCGCACCTCATTAAAGCTGAAAATTGTTGGGACCCGTATATAATACGAGCCGCTAATTTTACGTAGCAAAATTAAAAAAAGAAAATAAAAAAAATCTTGCATTATATGCAGGTTTTTACGGTAACCGGTGTTTTAATTACACATTGAAAGATCCCCAGGTGGTCGAAACGAAACCCCAGCCCTTCGCTGGGGCGTGCCAGATTTCCCTCGTTGGCTTGGCACGTAATACCCTCAAAGTTGTCACTGGGTTTGTAAATTGCCACTCAATATTCTCCTTTGTGCACATTTAAATAGAGCACGCATGGGATGTCCTTAAATATAAAGAGGTCTAGATTGAAGTTTTGACATTGCATTTAATATTTTGCATAAAAGATGAAGTTAGAAAAAAGACCATTCTTAGTTTGTGTTAAAGTGAAATTTCAAATGAATACACCAATGCTGTGATAATCTTAGATCATTGGGTATTCTAAAAACCTAGAAAAGTCTGCTTGCATCCAAGTATTTGACAGTATGCTGCTGTGATTACACACATAGCACTTAGTTGACGGCAGGGTGCCCAGATGCTTTGGGTTTTTCTTCTATACTAATAATAATAATAATAATCATCCTTTATTTGTATAATGCCCGAGAACAACCTATTGGTTACAGTGTGGTGGCACATAAAAAGTTTAAAAAGGGGAAAAAAAAAAACCCTGAAACAGTACACAATCATGAGCACCGCATATGGCAGGTGCTCATGACCCATGAGTGCAAGTGATGCTGGCCGTGCAAATGGGGTGTAGTCATAATGATTAATACATAATCGTGACTAGGCACAATTAAATGCGGCCAGCGAGATTCACGAGGGGCTGAGTGGGAATCAAACCCTGGACCGTGCGTTCTGCAGACCAATGTCTTTCCTCGGCGCCACGAGGAGAAAGCAAAGGAGAGCGCAGGCGACTGTATTAAATGCAGTTCAAATTCTATCTAACAAAGCTACGGGTAGCCTCAAATTACTTTGCTATATCAGTTTTCTTGCTAAATATAGCGGGAAAATTGATGTCACGTGACCTCACCTCGCATGGCCTATACATTAATTCAGTTTCCCTTTTTAAATTTGGTGGAGAAATGGGTGTTGCATGGCCTGATGTCATGTGACCTATACAGTAATTTAGTTTCCCTGCTAAATTTGATGGGGAAATTGAATCTCTTACGAAAGCTTGTGTTGGACCAATAGGACATGAGGAAGCGCAGCATTCTCACATCCCTGCAGGGTTCCTCGACCAGCTGTGCTCTGCAGAATGGCGATGCCAAGTGAGGTGGCAAGGCCTCATCGATGCCGACAATGAAAGGCCTCGTTTCTGCCGTCTCTAACTACTAAGTGCTGAAACCTGCCAAACGTTTTTCGTAAACGAAGGAGAAATCAAACTCACTCGCAACAGGGACGCCGTCGCCGTGAAAGCAGCAACATTGAAGCGGAAGCTTGCAATATAGGCACCCAATCAACGTTGCTACCTGATCAGGCGATGTAGCCTTCAACTTGCTGCACGAATAGGTCTTGCAACGCATTGGAGCTATTGGAGCTCCCTCGGAAATCGGTCACCGATTTCCGAGGGACATCCCAGTGGGAAGTTTTCGGGGTCATCCACTAACGGATGTCCCACAGAGGTTCTAGGGATAGCAAAGTTGGAGTTTGCAAAGTCGGGAGGTTTTTTAGAACGTCTCTAAGATATGGTCTGTTGTCTGGGCTTCGTTTCTCCAGCACTTAAAACAAATATTTATATTTTTCTAAGAATTAATGCTCCAAAAGCCACCTTGCTGCTCCTAAACACTGTCTTGGCTGCTCCGAAAGCCCTTTTTGCTGCTCTAAAACACTGTCTTGGTTGCTCCAAAGGCCACATTTGCTGTTGCAATACACTGTTTTGGCTGCTCTGAAAGGTGCTTAAAAATGGCTTAGGCCAATCACATCACTGCATCTGTGAATGGCTCAGATCTGCAAAGATGGTGCTTAACTCTTTTCGTACCTCGCACGGAAAAATCAATTGCCCATGATCGACGATTTGCGAGCCTCATGGCAAAGCCTCCGATGCATTTCTGTATAAGTTAAGGCATCTGGTCATCAGATTAGACACTCTAGTTTCAATTTCCGTATACTGTAATTGTCTTTATTTTCACAAAGAGCTAATTTTCGCGACTTTCGCCACTTGAATAATTGCAAAAAATAGAACCCACGAATATGTGTCTCTGTGGGGACAAATACATAGCATATACCAGCCTCACAGCGAAATTTCGTGCCCGCGAAACATTTTCACAATCTGTACTTTGCCGAGTTTGCGAAATATTGAGCCTGCGAAAATAGTCATTTACTGTCGAGACCGGTTATAACGAAATAGCGGCTACAGTGAAGCGATCACGATTTCCCATTCCCTTTTGCACTTTGTTATAACCCAGTCGGTTATAACGAAATAGCGGATAAAGCGAAGTGATTTCAGTTTCCCGTTGACTTCGTTATAACCGGTTTTGACAGTACAGGAGTTTTTTTTCCACAAGATGGGGATTTGAAATAACCTCATGCAAGGGTCTTCATATCGTCTGGCCAATACATGATACGTGCCGAAATTTATGAAACTGGACAGGACAGCTTAGGGAATGGTCACGGCAAACTGATGCTGCAGCTGTCCAAAGGAATAAGGAGCAAAGAAAGAAAGCAATAGCAGAATGCAAGTCGGTACATAGTCTCTTGAATGGCAGTGGAAACGGTGGTGGGAACTTTTTTGAGAAGAGCAGCAAGAGGAAGAATGCCTCTGAATATGCGGATTACGTGGATGAGCTAAAACAGCTAATCAAACAACACTACACAAAGAGCAACGGCGGACGGAGGCGTAGGAAGCTTGCTTGTGGATGGGGAGGGGCAGGCCGCAGTCCACTTACGCCAAGATAGGTCACACAGGCTTGCACTGTGCACAGCGTGCATCCACGACATCAAGAAAAAATGTGAACTTTACCAAGAACGAGAAAAAGCCGCGAAACAACTTGTCCAGCTGGAGATGTGTACTGCTGACCTCAATATAATGTGGCATATTCTCTCAAGCGGAAAAGATGTTCCCAGAAAGTTCTGGAGGTACCTTGGAACCCTGATCGACAGGGGCCAAACGCCAACCGTTGTCGACAAACGCAGAGGCCTAGAAGTGGATGCGCTGGACTAGTGCTTGACAGAACACTTGATGTTTGCTCCACATAAATTGGCTACACAACAAAATAACCCCACACAGAATGATAAGGAATGCACCTCCGCGAGTACTGACAAGGGGATCTCGTCACCATTGTATGTGCACTGGCACACATAAAAAGCTGCACAGCACAGGGCTCGGACGAGGTCCCAGCATTTATCCTCAAAACGCTTTGCCAGGATTCTAAAGAACTGTTAGCAGAAATCTTCACTGACATACTCACCGAGAAGGAAGCTCTGTCTTGGGACTGGAGGCAAGGTGAAGGTTGTCCTTATGCCAGAAAAGAAAAGGAATCGGCGTTTTCTCCAGAACCGCAGGCCTCTGACCATTACCAGCACCACACACCAAACTTTTGCTACCATCTTGAAGGAGCGCATGACGACATGGGTGGAGAGAGGACTCCTCGCCGAGCTCCAAGGGGTATTTCGTTGCGATTGACGCACGGAAGGCAATGTATACAGCCTTACCCAGCGTATTGAGCTGGCCCGAATAGATGGGAAGAAGATTGATCTGTTGCTTCCTCGATGTAGGTAAGCCTTATGATAGTGTTCCATACAACCAGCTTCTCGAAAGACTGGAACAGCTGGCTATGCCACCGCAGTGTACTGATCTCATCTGCTGCTTATACGCAAGAAATACGGTAAAGACACAGATGGGAGAGGCCACCTCAGAAGAGAGAATGTTGACATGGGAACTTCGTCAGGGATGTCCCCTATGTCATTCTGTACATGCTGTACCATATTTACGCAATGAACTTTTTTCGAGTAACGAGCACCGTCTGGGGAGCTGTCTGCAAACTAAAATAGAAGAGCAGCCCGACATGCTTGTGCCCGTCTAAACACATTGGCATTGTGACGTTGTATCGGTTTTCAGTGCTTTTTACACCTTATACTTTATACTAAAAAACAAAGCATCAAAATATACTAAATACGCGCGAACATGGATGCTGACAATGTTGCTGTCACCATTTTCGCAGGGCACCGCGTCCCGGTGTCTTGCGAAAATGGCGACAGCGGGAGTGTACGCATGCGCAGAAGCTTACTGGAAAAACGTCCATTGTAAGTCGACCCCCCCACACTGCACACCAGAAGAAAAAGAAAGAAAAAAAATCTTTAGAGGCGCATTTTACGGCGAACGAGTGAGAACGGCAGGGTATCTTTTTCAAAAGCCCAGCCTCCAGCACGCGATCGATGCCTTCCGGCGTGCTTTGGCTGCGCATGCATGCACAAGGCGTATGAGATGCCCAGGTATTATCACAACTAGAAAGCTCGTGCTCGAGGCGGGACAATTGAAGCTGCTTCCTGTCGTTCTCACTCTGTTCACGACTAGAGACAATGACTTGTCTGCACTGGTGATGTCAGTCTCGTCGTCATCACTGCTACGTTTTCAAAGCACGTCGGCAGCGGTGTTTATTGAAATCTTGCACTTTGCAAATGACAGCGTCATGCGCATCTTCCGCGCTTGCTCAGTGATCGTGTTGCATGTCACAGGTAGGGACCGATTGCGCACTTCTGCGGCGTATGTTGCAAGCCTGACCTCTAACTCCGGGAGGCGTTCGACCTATCCAGTCTAGCCCGTGAGAGCCCCTTCGTTCGCCGTCACAGTTAAGACCCCCACTCCATTGCAGACTCCACTAGAGCACCACCCGCTCCGAGGGGTCGAACTTGCATCCAGGAGCGCAATTGTTAGTTGCTTCTGGATGAAGAATGGCCATAAACAAGCGCCGGAAACCTAAACTGCCCAGATCACGCATGTCAACACAAAAAAACGTTCAGTCTTCCAACTCTCGTGAAGAAGGAAGACAGCGGAGCTGCACTCAATACACTGCCGCAACGCGCACGCGCCCGTTTCCCGCTTCTTCTCGTCCAACACGCCGCCGATTGTGGATATGTCTCCGGCGTACCAGAGTCTGTCGCACACGGCGCACATAACGACAAACGGCTTCTCCACGAATTTCCTCCGGAACCTTGCTATCGCACCCGGGAACTGTTCAGCCGGCGTGGAGTGCTGTTGTTGCCGGGCCTCGCGCTTGCGATTTGCCTCAGTGGCACGATCGTCGTCTGTGGTGTTGGCCCGCCGGCGCCCTTTACATCGCAGGTACTGTTCTCGGCGGTAGCTTTTCAGGCGAGCGATGTGCTCTTCTTTGGCAAGGGAATCTGAAGCGCTGGACGCAGTGGAAGTCGAGGCATTAGCGGCTTTGCAGCGGTTGCGGACCCATTCGCACTGCTGCGTACGTCGCCGCTCTTTCTGCAGCCAGTCTCCCTTCCCCGAAAGGGCGCGCGGCCGACCCATCCCGAGTCCAAACCGAAACTGATGAGAGCGAAGGAAGCAGTGCGCAAAACAGACGAAGACTAAGAAACACACGTGACGAGCCCCGCGCTTGTTGCATGTGCTTCTTCTTCATCGTCGTCTGTTTTTCGCGCCTTTTCCTACAATGAATTTTCACCAACGCGCCTAACTTTCGATTCTTCCATGATAGCTGGAAAGGTTGCCACCATCTATGAGTAACGGTGGTAACCAGACTGGCGGTAGCTGTCCAGGTAGGTTTGTGTCGACATACCGGACACAATCCTGGGGAACCTAGCCCTTAACAGCTCCGCTGCAAAAAACCTAATTGGCGCTCCAGCATGATTTTAACACTCGATCAAACGACGGGCCACTGTGAATCGTGCGAAAAACTGCAAAAAGAAGCGCGGGAAGTGAGACGTGAGGCAGGCTGTTCCAGTGGCCATTCTGGAGAGCTCTTGCAAGAATTGCCGCCACCCCCGGGAGCTGGGCACGCCGTGCGCTGTTCACCGCCGTACATTCGGTCTAATTTGCAAATCGCTATCAATAATACTGTCATGCCACTAAATAAAAATAAAGAGCTTGTAAAATGAGCGCACAGAATAGCGCAATGCTGCAGGTACAGCCGGCTGAACTTGTAACAAGTTGAGGCGTTCTTGATATCGCGGTTGTTTCATTTTTGTCGGCGGTGGAATGCTTTGGTTCAAGTACATAAGTCAAGCCCCCACTTCATATTTCCAAAAATTGAAAAATTGGTCGACCTACATTTGTGTAAGTATAATACATCGCACAACTGGATGAGTGGCTGCTACAATCAGGACTGGGTTTCTTGCTACAGCGCCTGGAGGATGGAGAGACTGTAAACTGGGTGTTGCCGAGACTAACATTCGCGGTCGACATAGTGCTCGAAGCCGGTTTTATGCAAGATATGCAGAAACTGTTAGATGTGTGCTCTGATGAGGCTGCTGTACTGAGTCTACACTGCAACTCTAACCAGTCGGGATTGAGGAGAAAGTGCTAGATAGTGTCATGTTGGGTGAGGATGGTATACAAGCATTGACCATTTACAAATACCTAGGTGTTGCACTAACCAATGAGATATGCTATCTGAAAATGCCACGCGAATTTCCGCCAAGTCACCATACGGACCAGTTGATTGGATATTACAATGTTCCGATGAAGGGTGTCCTTTGGTTGAAGAAGTCTTTCACTGCATTGACATCTCGGCTGTCAACAGCTAAACTCTACAAAAGTGTGTAGTTCGATCAGCTGGCGTTCTGAACTGAGCTTGCCCAAAAGCTTCTTGGACTTGATGTAGAGTATGACCAAACCCCTCCTACCCTTGAACAATTGCATCCTGAACCCTCATGCCCTCCAAAAACGGAGAAGTTGTGCAACCGCAAAATGTGTTATGAGGAGTGCGAAGTTAAGCACAAGTCAAATGTCTTTTGTAGTACCTGCTACATTTACCTGTTTTATCACGTCCAGAAACTGTTTCACCGAATGGAATGCATGCCACAATGGCTAAATCTAAATATATTAAAACTTAACTTTTTTTTTAATCTAGGACATTGCAATTTGCAGCTATTTTGCTATTAAAATTTGCCATATTTTGTATATTTTCAAATTTTTTAGCTACAATTTTTTGCAGAGGTATTTGCACATTCTTCTAACCTTTGTTCTGTCGGCCACAATAATATTGGTTTTTAATAAATTAATCACCGCCTATTATTAGACATTTATATATCATTAAAAATAAAATTTTATTGTGCTAGATGTTGATATTCTGCAACAAATTTTAGAAGCATGTTTTTCAGAGACAGCCTGTGTTTAATATTTAGGATATTTGGAGCACGGCAGAATAATGAAGGGAACAGTAATTAACTGTAGCATCTCCTCATCTAGTGCTGCTGTATCTGCAGGAAAGTGGCAACTGTTGAGTTCTACCGTTATTAATAACCTTTTTTGTCTACTTGCAGAATGGTGGATGTTGGTGGGCAGCGATCTGAACGGAGGAAATGGATCCACTGTTTCGAGAATGTGACGTCTATTATATTTTTAGTAGCTTTAAGTGAATACGACCAGATCCTCTTCGAGTCTGACAATGAGGTAAGACTTCCTTAAGTTTTATTGACACATATATTGACTCCTTATTTTTCTTGTGTTCTGCCATTAGCATCTGGCTTTGACCCAGTTTTTTTGTTTTTTTTCAATCTTTTTGTTTACTGTAAACGACTTAATTTTCGCGGTCTCAAATTTTCGCGGTCTCAAATTTTTGCGAATCGGGCCAAAGCCGAAAATTTGAAATTATTAGGGGGTTCTAATTTTTCGAATCGAGTGTAGTTTCCATAGCGTTCACATATTGCCCGAATTGTTCGCGGGACGCATTTTTCGCTAATTGTAGGCGATTCGTGAAGTTAGCAAAAATCAGGTCCTCGCAAAAATTTAGTCGTTTACAGTATGTTGCATTAGTAAGACTACATCCATTAAGGATTTATTATGCCTTGTTTGTAGTGTTGTTTGTTACCAGCAGGTGTTGTCTGGTCCTGGTCTCTACAGTTGATATTGAAGATATATAAAAACAAGTACATTAGAACCTCATTGATACGTTTCTCTGGGGACTGGGGAAATAAAATGTACGATCCGGGAAAACGTATGGAATGAGAATGCCATTCAAGGGGGGGGGTCTAGATGAATCGGATAGCAATTGTCACCAAACAGTTCACACAAGCATTCAAAGGTGTGAACTAAGGTTGTCTCAGAAAAGGTTTGTAAACATTTGTAGGTATAAACTGAAATAAACACACTCTAAAAATTTGCTGGCATGATCTCAAATACGTCCACAAAAAGTTTGTAAACATTCATCAATGTGACATTGGTGTGAACTCTAATACGTTCAGGAAAAGGTTGCAATTTCCACCTGGTACTTTGAGGGACTGAAACTCGGGCGAGCGAAAGAGTCCGGGGGGCTTGCGGAGATGCGTTTGCCAGTGCCCTCGTTGGCTCATTTATGCGCAATCGTGCTCAACACTTCAGCATACCAAAGCCGCCAAAAAGGTCTTGCTGTATGACAGGATGTAGTGCACGTGCAGGAGATGTCGCACTATGCTAGACGAGTCTTGACAGAAGCTTTCTTTACATGAAGCGGGAGGAGTACCAGAACCTGCACCGCATCAGCCGGGGAAAGTTCTTGCAGCTTCTCTCACGTGCGGAACTAAGGACTCCAAGACTCCACAAACAAATATAGTACAAAGCACAATGATGCACCATCTTCATGTTGCACATAAAAAAAAAAAGGTGTTGAAAGCGTGGTTTGAAATAAATCCACCAGTAGAAAGGCGCTCGGCTTTTTCGGCCTGTGCTTTTCACGGCGTTTTGCGGGGATTTGACTTGAAAAGTTTTGTCTGACAACAACGCATCTTTTCTTCTTCGACAAGCAGGGGTGGAACGGCTGCGCCATTTGCACCGTTTTGCGCCGTACGCATTTGTCTGCGCCATCCTGCGCCATTTCGCGGAAACTGCGCCACAGCCAATACCTTGCACCTTTATGCACAAAATCGCGCAACGTGCGCCTAAAAAATTGTATTTTGTCTTGGTTTCGGTTTCTATCGACTCGATGGGCAACAATGAGTGCGTTTAGCTTGGTCGGCCTTGCAATCCTTTGTTCTGTTTATTTTCCTTGTGTATCCCGACTCGGAAGCGCGCGAAAAAACTCGGGGATCGGATTCGAAGTGCTACACCTGTGACTGGATTGTTATTCTTCAACCATTAGCGGTTAAGCAAGTTGGCCGAGGTGAGGTCGAGTCGTTAAGCGGTCAGATTGCGTGAGGCTCTGCGGCCCAGGATCCGGTTCTCAGCCAGTTGAAAACAAATGAGCCAAAGATTCCTTTTAGTACTTCATTGTTAGAAGTTGGAACCGCATTCCCGCAAGATAATTCGTGATTTGATGGAACTGAAATGCGGTACGTCCGATCCGAAATCTTGCCGGCCAGCAGCTGTCCTGCGGTAGATCTGCTCGGCGTACTTTAATCTTGCTCCTGCTAATCGCTTTGAACACGATAACTCTGTTAATTGTAGTCTGCTGCTTCGATATTGAGTTGCACAATAGGATACTCGAAATTTGTTGCCCTGGTCCTCCACGCAACTGCACGTCCGTTGCTTACGCACGTCAAGAGGTTCGCACATAAAATTACTATGTCGGGCACGTGTGGGTTGTCCGACAAGCAGTGCTGGTTTGCATTTTGAGCAGCTGAAAGCCACTCAGAAAATATCAAGGACACCATCTTCCCATCTTCAGAAACATATGGCACTTGCTTTTTGGTTCTCATTAAGGCTTCCAAAGTCTCAAGTTTTCGCATCTGTTACACTGTTACCCCATCTGCCTAGGTCCCTAACCACTCATGTTCATCTGTGCTGCTAAGCACAATTGAAATTGCTCCCGTGCTTGTCTAAGGCACAAGCTGAAGTGCAAGGAAAACTGATCTGAGCTGCTCCTAGCCTGCTCCAGAATGTAGTTTTAGCTGCTCCCAACCTGCTTCGAAACAGCGGTTTCAGCTGCTCCCGGGGCTGCTCGCAAATATATTTCATGCATTCCACTCCTGAACAAGCAAAACAAAGGTGGTGCATTGTTTCCTTCTGTCCATTTCGTCCGTTTGCTTGTTCGTTTTGTCGCGTGATTCTTGGTCTTACATGCGAAGAAAGCTGCAGGATCTGTTCCTGGCCGGTGCACTGCAGGTTCCGACACTCCTCTAGCTCAATGTCAAGAAGTTTTGTATTGAAATTCGTCTAGCACGCTGTGCTCTATCCTGCACATCCATCTAGCCTCTCATCCAGCAAGACCACAAGATCCAATGAGGCTGGGCAAGACCTTTTTGCACCTGTGGCGTATTGAAGGACATGGGCAAACACCCTTTTGCAAGCCCAGGACTCCGTCGCGTCTACTTGAATCCTCCTTAGCAGGACTGCACTTGCATTGTGCCTGGGGTTAGTAAAGGTAGTGGGGCTTTGTGCCAGCTTCTCGCAGCATTCTAACTTGTGTGGCACGTAACAGTAGCGCACAATGATAATTTTTCGGAATAATGCGATAGCGCCGAGACTCTAGCCCCAAATGTCGCATTAGCTCTTCTACGACTGTGCTATGTGCATTCGTTAAGTGGTTTGGTCTATCCTTGCCGTCCCTTGTCTCCCCCTCTCTGGAATGCACATTGTGAGGGGACTTGTTGTCATGTGATTGATCCATCCGCGAACCGGTCTGTCGTGCAAATTGGCTGGCGGCTTTTTGGACGTAAGAACCTGGAAAGCAAACGCACTAAGCAGGAAACTAATGCACATGCTTCTGTGGGAGCTCGGCGTGAATGGCACTTCCGAACGTGAAAGGCGTTTCAACGATGTTCCACTGAAGTCAAAAGTTGCATAGTAGAGTAGCAAATCATTTTTGGAAACTGATGGGCAAGGTTGACTGCCTCTCTTCTATTTGATCATTGTTACTCCGTAAATTTCATGTATTTCTGATTACCTTTTTGTTGTTAAAATTGTTAGTCTGTATAGTTATTTTGTGGTGTCCATCGAGAGGGAAATCCTGGAGTTTTCCGGAGGTGTTTGTCGGCTTTGGAAGGTTAGAAAAACGTGGCCAAAATATACACCTTTCCAAGAAATGCTCGATTCTAGGGGCAACAAACCGTTTTCGAAACCAGTGACTGGGTTTGAGGCTAGACTCTCACCTGCGCCTCTGCTAACCCTAACTGAGTGGATTGCGATTTCGATAGGCGGAGCCTGCGTTGGCGCAGTTTCAATACACTGCTGGCGGCTAAATGCTCGTCTTTTCCCGTTGTATTTTGTTTCATGGTGTATTTATTTTCCCGAGGACATTGAAAAAGCATTGTACAGCATTTGAAAAAAAAACAAAAAAAAACTGATTTTTCTTTGATATACGCGCGACAGACCGAATGCGATTGGAATGTTAGTTTTTTTGTTTCTTTTTACGACAAGTTGTGAAGGCGCCGCCCAATTTGCCTCTTGTCAAATGACAGAGCTTAGCTGTCGAAAATAATTTACAACAGAAGATAGCCGAAAGGCATGCCTTTTTCACATCACAAGTAACGTGTTTACTGATGGACAGGACACGGACATACAATTTAGCAAGCGCTAGCATTCAAACATTATATCGTACGTGCCATACAATGCACTGTTATCTGAAACAAATTTATTTGAGAAACGTCTCAAATAAGTCACAGTCGACGATAGTCATATTTTGACAATCGGACGGAATCCAAGATGACTTTGTATTGGGGAACATTATGGGGAGAGCTTTCTTTTTTCACACCATTACCAAGGCAAAGGAACAAGCACGACTGACCCCAACGCTAACAACTATTTTTGGCTATAACTGAGGTCTCTACGCGGATTATCTCTAGGAGGGGCGTTGAACAGTTGTCGGCGAGGGCCGTGGGACATCCTTCCCCTCCTTCCTTTTCCGTGAATGTTGAACAGAAACGCTTGAATGGCAGGCACTTAACAGCCCTATTTCTCACAGTGGGAGATAACACAAAGGGTGTGCAGCATGCATCAGAAAAATTAAGTGGAAACTTTCAAGAGGGGCCAGAAAACGTTGAATGCAAAACCGCAAAACAAAGGTGGAGAATCGCACTGAGCGAGTTTCCACAGTTCCAGAGTGTGACAGAAAATTTCTAGCTGATAGGGGGACTAGAGTCACACCAGCCGCATTAGCATCAGCAACGAGGCGACGGCCTAGGAGAATTTTTTTGGAAAGGTGTATGGGAAGAGACTGAAAAATTTGTGAGTGATACCTTTCTTTCTTTGACACCTAAATTCTTTACTATTCTAGTAACTCACTGAGTGAATTGAATTCAATTATTCGAGAATGTACCAGGGGAGCAGGAGTGGAACGGCTGCGCCATTTGCGCCATTTTGTGCCAAACGCATTTGTCTGCGCCATCCTGCGCCATTTTGCGGAAACTGCACCACAGCCAATACTTCGCTCCATTTTTCTTCAAATCACACAATGTGCGCCAAAATAATTCTATTTTGTCTTGGTTTCTGTTTTTATTGACTCGATTAGCAACAATGGAGCGCGTTTAGCTTGGTCGGCCTTGCAATTTTTTGTTCTGTTTATTTTTCCTGTGTATTCCGAGTCGGAAGCACGCGAAAAAACTCGGGTCGGATTCCAAGCGCTACATCACCTGCGAATGAACTGTTCTTCTTCAACCATAGGTGGTTAAGCAAGTCGGCCGAGGTGAGGTCGAGTCGTTAAGTGTGAGATAGCCTGAAGGTCTGCGGCCCGAGTTCCGGACGTCAGCCAGTTGAAAACACATTAGCGAAAGATTCCTTTTAGTGCTTCATCGTTAAAAGTTAGAATTGCATTCCTGCAGGATAAGTCATTATTTGATTGAAGTGAAACGCTGTCTGATAAGAATACTTGCCAGCCAGCAGCTCTCATGCGAGCGGTAGATCTGCTTGGCGTACTTTAATCTTTCTCTGGCTCATCGCTTCAAATATGATAACTCTGTTAATCGTAGTCTGATGCTTTGATATTGAGTTGTACAACAGGATAAACTCAGAATTTGTTGCCCTTTTCCTCCACGCAACTGCATGTCCATTGCTTACGCACGTCACGTGGTTCGCACATATAATTACTATGTCGAGCACGTGTGGGTCGTGCTATAAACAGTGCTGGTTTGCATTTTGAGCAGCTGAAAGCCACTCAGAAAATATCAAGGACGCTATCTTCAGAAACATATGGTACTTGCTTTTTGGTTCTCACTAAGGCCAAGTTTTTGCACCTGTTACATTGCTATCACATCTAGATAGGTTCCTAACCACTCATGCTCATCTGTGCTGCTAAGCACGATTAAAATTGCTCCCGTGCTCGTCTAAGACACAAGCTGAAGTGCAATAAAAACTGACTTGAGCTGCTCCTAGCCTGCTCCAGAATGTAGTTTTAGCTGCTCCCAGCCTGCTCCAAAACAGTAGTTTCAGCTGCTCCTGTTTGTGCTCCCAAGTACATTTCATGAGTTCCACCGCTGGTGGAGGCTCGAAATATAAATCTGGTTATTGGTTGGTTGCAGTGGCATACCAACTTGTTTTTGAGTGAAAGAGCAAACCAGACCCCCCCCAAACCGGGGGGCAGTGCCCTTGGTATCCCTTGAGTGCCGCCAGCCAGTGTTTGCCCTGCCCAGTGGCGGCTGTTTCAGGGGAGGCAAAATACATGCCTTGCCCCCTCCCCCCCCCCTCGTCGCGGTTAGTACGCCCATGGTTGGTTGGTTGAATCCCGGGGAAGTTGGTTGCCATTCACAGTGTCAGATGATTGCTAGGCAGATGATCGCTATCCTCATTGATAGTTCTTGACATATGTTCCCCATTTCGACTGGTTTGGAAATGTTGCGTGAGGCATGTGGAAATATCTTGAAAAGTTGTGGAATTGGGAAATGGAATTGTGGTACTATATTTCCTGCACCTGGTAAAACATTCTCCTGCGCGGCACAGCTTGACAACTGCCTGCTTTATTAGCTAAAAAAAAAAAAAAAAAGGCTTGCATTATACAGAAATCGTTTTTGATGTACTGTCATTCGCAACATTTGCAGTGTCTCTTCATAATGAACAATCTAGAGAAAACAAATCCTCGTATAGTCTGCACTGCATAAAATGTCAGCCTTTAGACATGTATAGTCAAGTAAATATGGAAAACTCTGAATTTGTTTGGAAGCATCTTTTTATATTCCTTGTCGGTCATTCACCCTTTTTTCCTTCCAGAACCGCATGGAGGAGAGCAAAGCTCTGTTCAAAACCATTATCACATATCCCTGGTTCCAGAACTCCTCCGTCATCCTATTTCTAAACAAGAAGGACTTATTAGAAGAAAAAATTATGTATTCTCATTTAGTGGACTATTTTCCTGAGTATGATGGTAAGTCAGATGGGCAATTTGACTCATTACTTGATGAATTATGCGTGTCACAATTTTTGTGGTAAAAATAATGTAAACGGGCCATGGGTGCTTAGAATTCTTTAGTTTTTGTGCTTGTTAATGAAAAAATGAACCTGGGGTGTGATAAATGTAATGCTTGGGAGCGAGGGCACCTTAAATACTTGGGGTTTTATCTGTTTGTTTTGAGTTGCTGTCAATTTTTGTTTCACTGGCTAATTGCCTCAGGTGATCTTTCACATCAAAACAGACGCACTACCGCAATATTAATTCAACAGCCATCACCGAAACCTCACCCGTGCCACCTTTTGGAAATATATATATAATGTTTCTGAAAGACACAAAAAGGCTTGCTTTAAAAAAAAATGAGAGCCGCAGATAACAAGGTTAGCAAAAACCTATTTTCTTTTAATGTTGCTACAACAAAATGCAAGTTTGTTGGACATTCCTGGCAAACACTGAAGAAGATCACATAAATAACCTTCTCTTCTATTTTTTTTTTAATTTATAAACAAAATTTTTTATTTTACCTGCAAAAAACTTGGAAAGATTGAAAGATTGTCAGCCTTCTGAAAAATTCCAACTATAATTCTCGAGGATAGCAAACCTTGATTTTCCCGGAGTGTTGCAGCCATAGACCGTGAGGTCAGTGAAATGTCAGTTACAAAGTTAAGGAGACAATTGAAAGAAGGTTTGTTTTGTTCACAAACAATTTCATTCATCCCCGAGATTTGGGGTGATGTTTGTTTGGTTAGCACCCTGTTTAGTTCCCTCCGATTGCTACTCACTGCTGCTTTGTTTAATAGCGTTTGTGGCTTTCTGGACATGATCAGGACTAACTATCTAGACCTGGGGAAGAAGTGAGTCAAGGCCGTCGGGTGGTACCAGAAGTGAGGATCGAACATGAGTGTGACTATGGGGACTGGGGACTGTAAATCTGTGCACGAGCGGAACTAAGTATGAGATGCTGCCACAAAAGTACCATGCAGCACAGCTGTCCAATTAAATGGCCAATCAATTTTCTGCGATGGCTGCTAAGAAACAGCCGTTTTCACGGCAGTCATTCGGCGGTACGAGAATATGAAAAAAAAAACACCGATGCTCTTATTGTGTGTACGCAAGTGATGGTCAACTATTAGTTTTGTGCACAAGTAAGACCTTGCTTCATGAGTGGCATGGAAATAACCATTTATCGGGTCAGTGTGTCCTCCATCTAACTGGAGATACATAAAAAAAATAGCTGTTTTCTAGCTTTTGTTTTACAAATTTTTTGTACTTGGACATTTAAGCATCGTCCATCCCACTTTTTTTACACAGTCCAGGCTTAGGGAAGAGGGGGGGGGGGGGGGTGATTGCTGTTGACTTAGGATATTGCAGTGTGCATAGACATCATGCAAGCATCTCACTAAAAGATACTGTTCTGGGTATTTGCAGTTACACAAATACACCAGGGCATTGATGTAAACTTGCTTTAACTACTCTGTGGAAGGGTTAAGGGGGGGACACTACCCAGAAAAAAATATTTCCGCAAAAAAAGTTGATTTTGAAGAACGCCCTATTTACATCCGTCAGCATCTAGAGTATTCCCCATTTGTTTACAGTGCTTAGTTATTTTTTCATAAATTATTTTCAGTCCGCCAATGCTAAAGAAAAGGCAGAGGTTTGAGCACTTTGAATGCGTTTTTCTCCAATCTACTTTTTGGCATAAATCCCACCTTAATAAAACTATCGTTTGAGCAGCAAAACCATCGAGAGACTTAATTTTTTTGGCTTATATGCCGAAATATTGTGGAACTGGCTATTATGAACTTAGATTTTGCATTTTCATGTTCCTTTATTATGAAAAATTTGTAAATTGCAAAACTTGGTAAATGTAAAAAAAATTCATAGATTTTTTTTCTAACTTGAAGAATGTGTATTTTTGAAAAAAAATTTTATTGTAACTGGCAACAGGTATTTTAGTATGCATTCCACCAGAAAAATATGTGCTTATCAAAACCATTTCTCAACGATAGATTTATTGAGAAGATTCCATGCAAAGCTATGCTTTACTTTGTTCTGGGGGTATAGTACCTCATAAAATAGGTTCACAGGGCTGAAACTTTGCATTTTCCCCTTGTATATGTCTACAAATACCTCCTGCAAATATCACGCCGATTGAGTGAGCGGTTCAAAAGTTTGCATTCCCAGGTTGTGTCCCCCCCTTAAATCAGCAACTAGAACTTCACATCTAATTTCTCAGAAAAGAATACAATTAGAATCAGACTGGAAGACGGTATCCAGGAAATGTCCTTGCATTCCTTAGTTGTAATGATTCCACATAGTAAATTACAGTCGACTCTCGGTAATTCGAAACTCGCAAGGATGGCGAACCTCCTTGGATTAACCAAACTTTGTATAACCAAATTTTTAAGAGTGAATCGCCTGTAAAAGAAGGTATGATTTTCATTTGTTTTCATTGCTTCAGACACACTGCTGTAAGCACAATCTGCAACACTTCGTTCATCAATGTTAACTCTCGTCGGAGAAAGAAACTCTCGACAAGCGTCGAGAGCGTTTCCTTGTTGGCGTTTTCGTTTTCTTTTTCAAGCGTTTTCTTGTTGGCGGTGGATGGTCTCCAGCCACCCCTTCAATTTTTTGTGAGATCAAAGGTTTGGTGGTTTTTGTGGTGAGACATATTGGCATCAACACAGATGATCAAGAACCACGGCCTAATCTGTGGTGACAGACGTAAAGCATGCAACGGCTGTGATGCAAAATGCCGAAGGCGACCGTTTGGTTTCACATCCCCCCTGTTCATGCCAGTGTGCTAGCAATATGGCATGCACTGTGCCAACACTAATTCTCTTTTATCACGGCGAGAGAGGGAGAAAGCTGGCCGTCGCAGAACTGTGGCACGGCCGCAGAGTGGTGAACCAGCATGGCGGTAGTTTCCATGCTGGGCGTAATCACGACTCTGAACCACAAATGGGTAAAGTGACTGGCCATGAAGCTTCTATGCTCCAAGAGCGTCCGGGCTTCTGGGGCATGCAAAAATACCTTTTAATTTGTCAGGTCTGAAGGTGAAGCTTGAGGATATTTTTTTTTTTTTTTTATTTCATTGTACATAAAATGGCCTGAACCACACTTATACATTGAACTAACCAAAAATTCCAATAAAGCGGCTTTGAATTCCGGAGAGTCGACTGTACTCTGCTTAGATGTCTGTTCGGACAGCCAATCACTTATTGTGGTCCCATTGGAAGGATGCATCCTACACCAGAGACTGTGATTGTGACTCAACTTTGAGCTCATCAGTGCACATTTTTAGAACACTGGTAACTGCTAGTACGTTTAGTGTTGACTCACTGGCACGAAAGGGCTGCCCACGGTGAACACGGCTTTTGTCACGAGCAGATTGGCAGCTAAGTGGATCCTGGGGGAATTTTACATGCATGCTTATGGGGTGCAAAGTCATGTCCACTGGAAGTCTGAGGGAGTTGTGTTCTGTGTGGATAGCCCTTAAAGGTGCACTAAAGATGTTTCTGAGATCGTCTGTTCTTGGAGATAACTCATTCCACGGGATCTTAGCATCCCAGAAATAGAAAAATTATACTCGTGCGACGTCCATTTCCTTACCAAAAATGTGATCGAAGGTTGTTCCGTGCCCCTTCCTGTGCTCTAGATTTTTCCGCTCAGAAAGGGGCATAGCACAACCTTCGATCACATTTTTAGTAGGGAAATGGACGTCGCACGAGCATAATTTTTCTATTTATGGGATGCTAAGATCCCGTGGAATGAGTTATCACCAAGAACAGACAATCTCAGAAACGTTTTTGATGCACCTTCAACATGCAAGAACCAGATTGCTTGTTAGGAAAGTAAAAAAAAAAAAAAATCTAGGAATCTTCTTAACATACCTTCTCACCCACCACTATTTTTGTTTCACAAAAGCTCTTGAAGTAGGAGTGAAAACATCTCAATTCTTGAAGTGCTTTGAATTTTTTTTTTTTTTTTACGATCCAAGCACTCCTTGAAGTGTCATATTTACACTCTTGTTTCACAGAGGTCAGGCTTTAGAAATGAAGGAAGGTTGCATACCTTAAGAAGTTATAAGCTTAGTTCATTCAAAAAGTGAAAGTTGGGGAAGATTTCTTACCATCTTGTTACTGCCTTGAACGTATGTGCAGTGTTCTTATACTGACCTCATGGCAGCTACGACATTGTGCTCGCAGCATTGCCAGCATTTCTAGCAAAGCTACAATATTCGGTCAGGCCAGAAGATTTTTGTTAGTGAAGTGGTTGAAGCCCGACTTGCAAAAATCGTTTTGTTTTAATTTTGATGCACTTTGTCGTAACTGCTAGGTCATTTGCAGCAAAGAGGGCTGTGCTTTTCTTTAACCACACATATTTAGTGACTGCATTTAATGTACTAAGCCTTTTGATTCTCGCACAAGTTGTCTTTGCACAAGGGATATTGTAACTCTTTCTAGAAGATGGAAGAGCAGTGTGGCACTTGTGGAAGAGGTCGGCTATTCCTCAAGCCTACCTCCGAGTGTGTTTACCGCCTTTACCACGGAAAGAGTGCCAGTAGCAGGTGTCTGGTGGTCACAAACTAACGTGGAAGTGCCTCGGTTTTGTTCCTTGCTCACCAAGGACCGAAGCAGGACCATATCACAGCTCGCGAGTTCCTGCTCAGGCAATTTCAGTCCCAAAAGCCAGGCTCCGATTTCATGTACTCTCACTTCACCTGTGCCACAGGTCAGTTGCCCGACATGTGCTGGGCTGTTGGTTGGGTGGAAAGAGAAGAGTGGGGAGTCTGTACTGACCATGGCTAACTGAAAGGGGAGGGAGGAGGAGCTTCCTTCGGTTTTTCATACTTCCTGCGGCCTTTTTCTCTGACTTCTTGCGACACTTGCTTCCTTCATTTCGTTTTCCGGAGCAGGTTTGGGTTTGTTGAAAGAACTCTTTGTCTTGCGTGGCGGCAGTTTCCCTGTCTCGGGGCGTGGCAATGGAATGGCATGGGCCGCTCTAACCGGGGAAGCGTGCCTGGGGGTGGGGGTTCACTTCCTTAGGTCCCAAGCAGGATCATGAGTCGGCGAGAAACTTTATTTTGAAGGTGTACCTGGATTCGAACCCCGACAAAAAGCGTATGGTGTACTCTCACTTCACTTGCGCAACAGGTCAGTCGAGGCACGAGTCGTAGTGACAGGCTGTCCACGGAGCTCTGTCGCTTTTGGCCACTACGTAGACTGGCTTGATGCTTCCAGGAGCTTTGAGCATTTCTTAGTACTTCATTCAGCTAGTTTTTTTACTCTTAGTGAAGTGACTTGAATCATATATTCTGTTTCACCTTAAAATGTACTGCAGTGAAGACTAGGAGCTTGAGTTCGTAGCTTTAGCAGTTTCTTCCCGAGGTGCATCCTTGAGCAAGGAGTCTGCGCTTGTAGCCTTTGCCGTGTTTTTTCTGAGGGTGAAGTACAGTATAATAAATGCTTAGGGGTACATTTAATGCAGAAGATTACGGATTTTAGTTAAATATTTTTTGTGGAGAAGCTAGCTAATTCATTTCAGCGAGTCACTCACAAGAAAGGTTTAGTTATTGAGTGCAGATTGGAATGTAGAGCCCTCTACAGGTTTCCTACTGTTACAGAATTGTTAAAGCTTTTGCATTCAGTGACAGCATCTTTTCCCTGTCATTGTATTTATTTTTCTTAGATTAAAATAATTGAATTCTGCTGTTATGTTATGAACATTAAAGGTAGTACTTGGGAGTTTGGTACTTGCTCTGCAAACAGGAATAGGCAATGTCGCTCAGTGTGCAGTATTTTGTCGGAATATGCTTTTATTGCTTCAAGGACCATTTTTTTTAATTTTTTTTTATTTAATTGACAGATAGAATGGTTAATTGACAGATAGAATGGAAGTATGGCAATCAAGCTTTTAGTACCAAAAACTTTTAGTGCCTTCAGGCTCATGACTCTGCTTCTAATTTTTGCCCTGTTCAGTGCAGGACTCTAGTGTAGTGTTTAGCTAGTTTAGTTTTTGACTGGGTTAAGGTAATGTGCTGCTTTACTATCTGCATTGATTTAAGTTTATGGGCACTGCTTATGGCAGCAGTTTCTAGTTCTCCTCCAAACCTCCACAAGCTCCATCTTGTTCTCTCAAGCTCTTGCTTTTTCTCCTTCTATTTGTTTCAGATCTCTATGTACAGTTAACATGCTTGTCTCTAACAGTAACAGCCCTGTCCTGTGATGATTGTTTGAAAGTTAGACATTTTGATTATCAGCGTTTTTTTGTTACCACCAGCGTACACTAGCAGTTTGCACTGAAAGCATAGCTTACGTCTGGCTGCACAATAGCAGACTGGAGAGCTAGCTTCCCATCCCTTCCCCCTCCCTTGTACATCTGCAAATTATAGTGCAAGGGATACAGCTGCTTCTATTGAGCAAAAGATTTGGCACCACAATACATTTTCACTGAAGAACGACAACTTGCTTCATGCCCACTCAGCAAGTAGTCCCTCCCAGGCTGCCGAAGAAGTCCGTGTTGCTTTGAGCCAGCAGTCGGCCCGTTCCTTTTCAAGCATTAGCTTCCAACCTGCCTCAAAGCTAGCGTGTTGAATGGATGGCACAGCTGGGGAGGGCAGGAAGGTCGGGTCAGCTTTGCCTTCCTGTGGCAGGGCCAGCTGGGCATTAGATCTGCCGCTAGCTTGCCCGGCCGTGCGCTGGTGCAGCGTTGGGCCCCTGGGTATCCCGTGTCGTCCTGTGCAGCCTGTCCGCTCCCTCACGCTCCCCTCTCTTTCCCTGCTTCTTTAGGACCAAAGAAAGACGCCATTCACGCTAGGGAGTTCATCCTTAAAATGTTTGTGGACCTCAACCCGGACAGTGAAAAAATCATCTATTCTCATTTTACGTGCGCAACAGGTAGGCAAGGCCTGGGCACGGTTGTGGTCGACGAATGTGTGCCTTTGACCGTTCTCTTCTTCTCCCCCCTCCCCCCTTTTTTTTTCTCTTTGTGGAGGTTTGGAAGAAGGGGTCCCCCCATTCCTCTTTGCGCTCTCGGCGTGCGGGCCCGGGGGCTGGATGCATGGGGTCAATGTTGCGCATGTCTCGCTGGGCTGCACCTCGTCTGCTTACAGCGAACGTACTGCCTGCGTGTGTGTGTGTGTGTCTATCTCCGGAGCTGACTCTTTGCACTGTGGGTTGCCGTCACAGACTGTTTTGTTCCTCTTGGTTCTTTGGTGTACTGACACCTCTGTTTGTCCATGTGCCTGTTTCTTTTTCCTGTCTTTCTTTCACCCTCACCATTCTGTTCCCTCTGCATGCATGCTGGGTAAGACACTGAGAACATTCGCCTGGTGTTCTGCGCCGTGAAGGATACCATAATGCAAAACAACCTTAAAGAGTTCAACTTTGCCTGAGTCTTTGCTGGTCAGCACGATTGATGTGACGGGTTTGTGCGACTACCACTTTTCTTCTCTTTGCCAGCTTGGAGATGTGGGTAGTGCTGTAGCATTAGTGTTCACTGAGAGCTACCTCGATGACCAGCGGCACACCATAGGAGCAATTGTTCTTATGAACAGCTGTTTTACCGTATCGTACGGATGTAACCTCGGGAGCCTCTAGCATTATTTCTGTGCAGCTGGTCTTCTCGTAAGCTCTCTCTATCTATACTCCGTGTCACAAGTTGTGTGTGGTGCTATTGAATGTGCGAGCACAGAAGGCCAGGTTTAGAAAATAGTTAGCTTACCCAAGTGTTCGTGCAAGGAGACATCCCGAAGCCAAGCACCCCCGTAGCTTGTGCAGCGCTGCATACAACTCTTGAGACGGAGAATACTAGTCCTAATGCTGCAGCTTGGTCGGCATCTATTTTGTACCGCGACTGCTTTGAGTAAGGGCCGAAAAAAGCATTGTTTACCCACTTTAAATGAAGCATTTGTCTTAACCATTTGTGGTCACAACCTTTTTCATCTTCACTCATCTAATCAAGACATCTATATTGATCCAGGAAATTAGCTTGAAATCCTTTGCACATGCTTTTTCATAGATGTATATCGTAAACTGTGGAATAATTGTTTGCGGTTTAGTATTTTGTGGGAACACATGTATGCGATAAAAAGCAGGCTATACCGTTCCATACTGCTAATATCACCATAATTTTCCTTTGGATAATTTAATTGTCATTGGGGCTGGTCTAACGAAAGACATTTTAAGATTTGCACACTTGTTTTTGTCACTGACCTCAGTTTTGAGTGCAAAAGCTCTACTGATAGATGGCAAGTGGTACAAGCAACAAGAGCATGCTTGACCAGTCGTCAAACAATGTTTAACTGCTACCTGTAAAGGGGTGCTTGATAATGAAATTAAATCTTTATTTCCAGAAATTTACTCTGGCGGGCCTCCAGACAAAAAGCTACCATATGGTAACTTGACTGGGTCTGGGGACCTAAAGAAAAAACAAGCATAGCAATCTGGCAGAAAAGTGGGATACATTGAAAAGCCTCATTATACAACATATAGAATGGCCACAAATGGTTAATGGTACTTTGTAAGAATTTCTTGTTCATGCTCGACCAGGTTGCTATTTTGGACACGTCCTCATAGGATATTTTGCCATGATTGCAAAGATTTATATGAAACTTTGAACTCCCTAAGATTTTAGCATCAGCATTTTCTCGTAACTAAACATGTCAATGGTAAAAGGACTATTTGTTTGGATTATCTTTTATTGCTCTCCTTGTGCTAGGAACAGTTCATTAAAGCTTGTAGCCCATAAAATATTCTCTAATCAGATGGTAGAATTATGTATTTATTACTATTGGATGTAACAGCATGTTGCATCCAGTGTCTGCCATTTTGCTGGCTGTGTAAAAAAAAATTCTGCTTAGTAATTGAAAAATTATTGAAAGTCGGTACATTATTTCTTGTGTATAGTTAGGCCTGTTACGAGCTTGTTGCTAAAATGAAGAGCTTTTTTTAAAGAGCCATACCCAAACAAAAGCTAAAAGAAGAAATCCAGTTTTAATTTTGATGCTGAGCATGGGATATATTTTTCAGAGGGCCTCTGACAAGCTGTATATACTTGCCTAACATTCTGCTGAATTATGGCCTGCAAGGTCTTGGCAATCGGAAAAATAGTTGTAGCCCTATATGTTTCTTTATTTTTCCCGCCAGTCAAGAATGGGAAGCTTGGGGTACCCACCTCCCGTTTCATTGGTCGCGTGCGATGACAGCATAGAACTTGAAATATCTCGAAGTTAAAATCCATTTGAGGCACGTCTTTCTTAAAAATTCATAAACCATTGTTTTTCAGACCATAATCATGTCAAAGACACAGTAAACAAAATTTTAATTACTGACCGCAAGTCGACGGTTGTCTGTATAGTGATGCTAGACTGCTCAGGTGACTTTATGGCTATAGACTATTTACAGGTTCCAAGTGTTGGAAAATCTGGATATTGTGACCGTGAGCATGCCAAATGTTAAGTGTTACTCCTGTAGATTGTCAGAGCAGACTAGGGCTCATAATAGATCCGGTCTCACCAGTCAGTTTGACTACGCCACTGCTGCCACAATACATCGAAAGAATTTTAGCCTTTCAACACGTACGGCAACCTCTCTTGAGCGCTGCGCGTGGAGAGCACGAGCCGTCATGAGCCCTCTTGTGCACCGTCGTCTGCCTCCTGTGAACTAAAGTTATGGCGGCGCCAAACTCTTAGCGAGATCGGTATATTGGGCTAGTTGGTAATCCATGAGAGCACTTCACTACAAAAGTGTTCTAAACAACAGCTGGTCCTTTGGTTTCGGTTTGACCTTGTCTCTCTCGACAAACATTTGACTTTAGGGAAAGCTTAATTGCATGAGGTTGTTGCACCAATATCTATCGCACTGCACAAAATATTTTTTTAAGAGGGGGGGGGGGGGAGGGAGGGCAGGGGGTGTTAAGAGGCCCTCTGTATAGTGCAGGTATTCTCATGTTCCATAGTCCCAAGACAATCGAACTGCCTTACTCGGAACACTAAAAGCTTCACAAAGTTCATCGTAAGGAAAGCTTAAGTTTTATGTCGCTCAAGTTGATGCTGGGGTCGATATGGCTCTTTAGAAATAATGCTCCAGTTGTGTAGAAAGATTGAAGGAGCATTGAGCTGTGGTGCTTCTAGTACCACTCATGATGTTATTTTCCTGCATATAAACAGAACATACAGGTGTAAAAAAAATGGGCAGAGCTCTGGTCTCTTGACATCACTAGTGTCACTGTTTTTGGAATTGTACAAGCAAACTGAGAAAGTGATTGGTTTGTGCATGTGCAATACCCATAACTATCAAATCTACCCACTCTATGCTTTGCGCACTCATCAGTAGTGTGAGGGTTTACAGTGATGGAAATACTGCACCATTTCCACCAATTGCATCATGAACAAAAGTTGCTGTATGTTGCACCAAAACACCATTTTGCTCAGATTGCAGCACACCTGTGCCAAGATGGGCTTAAACACAGCAAAAAATTATAAATATTTTGTTATTGGTTTATCCTAATATTCAAAAGGAAAGGAAAATGGTACAAAAATGTACTTCACAGCATCTCTAATCACCATGTAGTTTGTTTTATTTTAGGTCAGGGCACAGTCAAAATCTTGAACATTTGCAACCATAAGCACTTGCACTAAAAGCACAAGTCACAGAGCATTTGCTGTGCATGATTTGGTTTAGTTGATGGAGTGCGTACAGAAAGATGATGAAGGCTATAATGTCATGCCTTTGAGGCTGTTTCATTGGTTCATAGCATCCACTGCACTTTGAGTTAAATGACGACGTTACACTTTGCACTTCTCGTCACTCCCTCCTTTTCCATATTCTCTCCACCTTTCGACTTGCACCAACACACCTCCCCTCGCATTTTAGGAGAGGAGGGTGCTAAGAGGATTGGTTACCCTTACAAGAACTGAGGTTGACCGTCGGCCTTTAAAGGGCAACATACAACTTTTCAAGTGACTTGTTGACGTACAACTTTTCAAGTGACTTGTTGACATACAACTTTTCAAGTGACACATACAACTTATTTTGACGTCACCTGCTAACAGATGTTGTAACTGCTCTAAAAGCATCAATGGGTGCTCCAAACCAATAATTTGACTTCTACAAAACCTGTTACAAAACGCAAGTGCTGCTTCCATTACTGATTTATCTTCCATGCATTGTTACCTTCCCCCTGCAGGGTTTTTTGAGAAGACCTATTGATGGCATATGTAACAGTGCTACCTATATGCAGGAAAATAAGCTAGATTGCACCGGTTTTTTTGTAGGTAAATGGGCTTTTGAAGTGCAAACGAAGCTGTCAGCTCAATGCGTCTTTGAAAAATAGTGAAACAGCTGCATCTGCTTTATTAGGTCTATAGTTGGTGGTGTCTATGTACAGTGCCTTTTACTAACCTCATCTTTTTCATCCCTTCCCACCCTCCATTCCCATGGCTGTGCCCCACAGACACTGAAAACATCAGGTTTGTGTTTGCCGCTGTGAAGGACACCATTCTGCAGCTGAACTTGAAGGAGTACAACCTAGTGTAGGGACACTCAACCACAGGTTTCCAGCCCCACTCCCCTCCCCTTTCTGGCCCCCCTTCCCCTCCAGGACATGTTTTTTTCCCCCACTTACTCTTTTTCTCTCTGGCGCGTGGCCTTTCGCGCAACTCTGTGGTGGTGGGTGAGCGAGGGGGGCTGCCACAAACTCTTTGCGCGGGTGTACGGACAGTGCAGAGACTGGCCACGATCGAGGACTGTGCTCGCAACTTTTTTTTTTTTTCTCCGATGCAGGCGGGCGCGAGATTGGGTGCCATCGGGGATCCTCGCGAGGGTTTGCCCCTTGTTCCTCCCCTTCTTTCTTAAGTTTCTTTTTTTTTTTGTTTTGTTTGTTGTTGTTGTATTGCACTTATTTAGAGCCAATTTGTTTAAAAGGGCCCACATTTTTTATTTTTTTTTTGCAGAACCTTATTTGTTGTACCCTCTGTGTTCTTCCCACCTGCCCGCTCTCTCGAGACGGGGAAATGTGCCGAGACTGCCGTTCTAAGCAGCCTTTTTTCGCCCCTCCTCCCCCCTCTTGTGAACTCGCTGTCTGGAACACAGTGCCAAACGCAAAGCTGGTGTGTGGGGAGTGGGGGGGGATTCACTTGTTTTTACATCGGTTGTGGCAAGGGTGCGCAAAGCTAAAAAGGGGAATGGGTGGGGGAGCCTGCGGTCCCAGTTGAGGACTGGCGATTGGTCGCACGTTTTGCCACACAGTGACCCACGAGTGTGTGGTAGCCTAGAGCGAAGTAGAAGAGGGTGGGCGAGGGCTGAATCTGTTCAGACTTTATGATGGATGGTCGTCCATGCGAGCGAGACTTGTTCCTCTGTGTCGTTTGTTGTTCTGTTATGCCCGTTTTATTATTGTCCCCGGTTTTGTTTTTCTGCGGTGTTTATTTTACTACCTAGTCAGCATTTTGTACATAAAGCAAGTGCAAACGCGTGGCTGCAGCGTGGCAGCACGAGTTCTGGAACAGCCGTGGGTCCAATTTTGCTCCCCTGTCAGGCACCACCGAAACCCAAAAGATGAGAGAAGGGAGGAGTGGGGGAAAAGAAAAATAAGGTGGATTTTCTAATTTGTAGTTATCGGCGAGCCTGGGCCTCTTGCGGGGGGCTCTTTTGCGGTTTTTGGGACGCAGTTAAGGCTTGTCTTTTGCCAGTGTGCGTACTTGGAATGCTTGTGTACCTGCCTGTGAAAAGCGTGTGTGTGTGTGCGAGTGTATCTGCGTGCATGCGCACGCCTGTGTCCATATAGGAAGGGCTCGAATCGAGCAAAATGTCACGTCTTCGAGAGGACCACCTCCTCAGACCCCGGTCAGGTCCTATGCTCCCAGTCTTGCGTTTTTGCCATTTTTCTGCACCTCGGAAAACGAAGAAGGGGCTTTGTGTAGGGATCAGTACTTCTCGGAATGCTCCTAGTAATCTCACCTGTAAAGCACCGAAACTGGGCTTAAAAAAAGATGCGGCTCCATGTCTCCAATTTGGAGGTAGAAGCCTCCTCTGCATTTCTACTACTTTTATTGTATCTGGAAGTTTCCACCACAGGAGTTTTTATTGAAGCCTTTGCACATTTTAAGCGAATGTTTTAATATTTTGCACGATTCATTTGAAGTTGATGTGCCAGGCATTATCTTCCTTTGGAAGAAACTATTGGCTTCAGCTAGCTGCAATATATTTTTCAACCAGGATAAAAATCATCCTCAACCCACCTTTCCCATTTCCTCCTCTCCCACTGCTATCTTGACAGCGGGGGTACTCCTTTTGGTGCCGCATGTCTGGGTTGGATGAGCCGGGATAAGCTCCCGGCTCATCGGCCCCAAGGTAGAGGTACAAAAGGAGTCGCCTGGTCGTCAAGTTAAGTGTGTTGAGAGAAGGAAATGAGAAGGGTGGCGAGGAGAATTTTCACCTTGGTTGAAAAATATTTGGGAGGTCACTCTTTAAGAGGGATACATTTTTGTCTTTCCTGTATTTTTCGTAAACACCCACCCCTCCCGTGAGATGTTACAGCTGTCCTTGTTTTAGGTCAGCACTTGCTTTAGCTCCAGTCCTGTTTCTGGTTTAAGCTGGATGTGACGAACGAGGTGTCTGACAAAACTTGACCGTGAGTTCTCTTTGCTTTACTTTCCTGGTTGGTTTAAGCCCCAGGGTTTGCTTAAAGTTAATTTTCTGGTCTTGTTTGAAGCACATTCCCACGCTGGAGGGTTTCTGCAGGCGGCTGAAAGACGGACCTTGACCGGGATGTCGGGAGCTGGTTTTCCTTCCTTATCTTTTCCCCCTGGGCCATGTAAAGGGAGGGGAGAGTGCAAAAGAAAATAATTACTACTGCCACGTTGCCAATACAACAGTAGCTGTTTGTCGGGCAAACTCCCTCTTGTAAAGAAGCAAAAGGACGATGTACCATTTTAGTGCAACTACAAACGCTTCCGTTGCGCACAGGATTTCAGTCTGAGCATGTGTAGAGTGTCGACGTTGCTTGCGGTACGTTTCCTACGAATGCGTGTGTGATGGGGCTAACCTCGGTTTGGGCTAGAGGGAAGTGTGGACAAAGCAGAGAAGTCATTGTGCTATAGTCTTCTTTTTCCCCCTCGTCTTTTCCGCAATGCCTTGGCGCTCGAGATAGGCATGTAGGAGTTTGAAATTTGATGTGTGAGAAGCTTTTTTATATGTGTGTCTGTTTGGCATGTATGACGAGTATGGCTTAACAAGAGCAGAAGAAAAAAAAAGTGTGACAGTGTATCTCAATATGTGTCTGTCGGGCCTCTTTCTTTTTATATAAAACTTCTAGCTATCGAGGAGGACAATGTGTCGGGTACGCTGAATGTTTTATAGAGCGACGCGTACTGTCTTACGCGATTGCCCTGTCCTCTTTTCCCGATGTTGGTCGTATGCAGTAGTGAACACGTCTTGCGTACTTCCTTTGACCTATGCCCCGTTCCCTCTTAAAAACCCATTCGATAAAAAAAAATACTTGGTACCTGAATCTTGTCGCATGAGGTAAGACGGAGTAGGCTGGACTTCGCTTCCACGAGTGGTGCAGAACTTGGGAATTTGGTATTTGGCACCTTGGGCTTGCTTTTTGGCTGGGTTGAGTTGTTGACCAAACCAAAGTGAGCTGGGAGCTTGTCCCCTCCTTTCTTTGGAGGGAGGGAGGGGGGGGGGGGGGGGTGTTCTGGCACGAGGGATGGGGGCTCGTGTTTGTCGCATCCCTCAGTGGAGGGGCTGGAGTGGAACGCTGCGCGATTTTACAAAGTAGAACAAACCCTTTCTGTTTGCCCTGTGTTTGTACAGTTGTTTGGGGACTTCGTTATAGAAAGGGCCAGTCTTTTGATGATGCCTTTTATTCTGACTTTTCTTTTTTTCCTTTGAAGCCGGATGCACAAATGTTGCTCGAGTTTGTGTAGCTGCTTTTCTTGTGTAGGGGGAAAAACACATTACATGTGTGCGTCTTAGTTGCTTCTGTTTTTTTTTTTTTGTACACTTGAGAAGGGATTGACTGACGGTGCTTCCTCGATTCCTGTGCATCGAGAAACCGTGCAGTGAGTGAACATTGTGCAGAAGACAGCAGCACCGGGCAGAAGAGAACGGACTCCCACCTAGTATGGGAAAAGGTGTGCGTGCTTTGTGTGTGTGTGCGTGTATATATATATATATAAATATATATAATTGATATGAGCTCTTGGAAAAAGAAAAGCTTTGTCAGATTGTTTGGAGAGAGAAACACACACACACACTTTGAGGACTTTACCTTTATATGGATGTGTAAATTTGTAATATTCAAATTAATGCAACCGTTGGGTAAAGTATTGAATAAATTCTCTTAAATTCTCGTTTGAAACTGAGCCAGTTCTGTGAAGTGCCTATTCCGCATTCCAATCGGCGACTCAAAGTTCATGCCTGTTGGTTGTACTGAAATGGACTGCGAATTTGCACAGGACTACTTGAGCGGCAAAATCATGGTGCACCTTTTGGATTTGTCACGGTATTGCTATCCTGTTTTACTTGTCTGGGTCACAAGCTCTTTTTGAAATTGTCAAGTATCCTATATTCTTTTTCTCCAAACATTAAAGTTTTTAGACAAAGAAAATGTAAATACGGTATTTCACGAGTGCTAATCTTGCTGAAACATTTTGTTTGAATTAAATGTGCATTGTTTTGGCGCTTCAATATTCGGTGCAACTTGGTATGGACGTGGCTGTTGCTGGTTATTAAGACAAACAATAATTTTTCACTTGGTCATCTGGGTACTACTGATGCTCTGAATAATACTGTTTTTGTTTCAACTACAGAATTACGGCCCTGTCGAGAAAGGGAGTACCTTATAGTTGAACAGTAATAAAGGGAAACACATTCTGAGAGTACTCCCGTACTCTCAGGATTTTGAAGTTGTGCATCTCGCACACCAACTTAGTTGAGAGGCTAAATATTGAAGTCGCCTATCTGAGCCGCTCCAGAGTTCTTTTTGTGGTAGGTTACTTTCGTACGGAGACGGACTTGTTGCTTTCAGAAAAGGGCTCTCAGCAGGTCAACAGTCTGGCAAGGGTGGATGCACCTTTGTCAGACGGGGGCAACAGACTCGACCAAAAAGGGTGGCCGTAGTGCACAATGTTACCTGTATCAAGCAACGTTGCTAGATCCCCAATTGCACGATTGACCGTGCTTAATGTATGCCAAATCATTGGGCAATCGTGATATCTTCACAAGTGACTGTCAGCTTCGAAAGCCCCGTTTTTTTAAAACTTGCATGATTTCGTTATTGACTATCGTTGTGGAACATGAAAGTTGCTTTATATGGCTACTGCTAGAGTCACTGAATGTTCCCAGTACAGAAACTCCCAGGCTCGAGGTGCCAAGACAGCGGCTCAATCTTTTTTCTTTGCTGTGGTCACCATGAGCTTTTAGTGTTTTTGCATAAGAACAAATGAAAAGAAAGAAAAAAAAAGCTTGTAGGAACGTTCATTGGAGATCAGTACAAAATAACAGGTACAATTAATAGTTTTTATACAACCATGACTCACCAGTGATTTTAGGTAGCGTGTCCTGACCTGGGAGCGTCCTAATAATTTGCGGCGCGTCCGTTTGGGAGACGGGGGTTTGCATCTCTGATACCCCTTCCACCGTATGTGTAAAGAAAGAAAAAGGCTTAACTTTTATGGAAACCCAGCGAAGCTACCAATCTTTGCTGTGTTTGTTTGTTTGAAGAGCGGTCACTTCGCTGCGTTTCCATAGCCTTTTTCTTTTTTTACTCTCCTCAGATAAGTTCGCTCTTTGCAAATTTTATAGAAACAATGCACCACCTGTGGGCAACACTGCAGAAATTTGTAGTGCGATAGGTTAGGAAACCGAATTTTGCAGTCAATTTAAAGAGCCTGGCCGGTACTTGAGAAACCCTGTAGAATAACCACAGCGGACGCTTTCAAATACGATACTCCTGAACCAATACAAGCAGAGGTGAAGTTTCCCGAGTGGCCGCTGCACGAGAAATGGCGGCGTTGGGATCGACATTAGCTCGGTTTTCGAGTGCAGATTGGTGCCACTTTCTCAGGGCAGGCTAATGGCAGTTTCCCAACCGAGTTCTAGTAAAGTTGGCCGACATACAGCTAAAAGAATGGTTTACTCGATAGTGCCAGGTGAGTATGAACTTGTTTCCCCCAACCGTTCCCCGAGGCTCGTACAAATATAGTTTCATCTGCCATGGCAATGCCTTTGACGAGTGACAATTGCAAACGGGGAAGAATAATCTTGCAAGTCTTGTGCACATTACCTTTAAAAAGAAAGTTTTTGAATATTCAAAAATAAACAGATTGCTGTAATTGCCTCCCAAACATATTGAGAAACTGACATTTCATCCAACTATGTAAACATTTAGTCACTTTTTTTTGCTTTTTTTTTTTTTTCTTCAAATTGATGCTTCCGACAATTGGGGGAAAAAGTTGCTATGCTTGCAGCTTTTTATTGTAATGGACCATTTTAGAAAGCCGGTTCTAGTATGAAAATACGTCGACAATCTGAGGATTAAGAAGGAGCGTTCTAGAGCGAAGTTTGGAGGCGAAAAGAAAAGCCACACCAGGGACAAGAGACTGGGAGCCCAATCTTGGTCATGAGCTCAACAGAGCGAGCCAGATCTTGCCTTCCTGGTCGAGGGAGTGCCCGCTAGTGATGCAAAACCAACTATTGATAATGTCTCAGAACTATCGACTATCGATAGTTTTTCGATAGTCGACTCGATAGTACCTACTATCTATAGTTTTTCGATAGTCGACTATCGATAATTTTCCCGATAGTTGACTATTGATAGTTTTTCGATAGTCGACTATCGATGGCTTTTTTGCCATCGATAGATTTTTGGGAACTATGGAGACTCAATAGTTTTGCACCACAGAGCGAACACAGTTGCCGCACCGCTGCTCGCCTCCCTTCCTCCTCTCCCAAACTCCCCGTCTTCGTCACCACTGAAAGCTGAACAAAAGTTGGGATGGTAAGTGCTTGGGCTAGTTGGTGTCCCATTTGAAAAAATAAAGCGAGAAAAAGAGAAAGGGGAGCGACGCAAACTAATAGTGTCGCAAAACTCGATAGTAAACCGTCGACAGTATTATCGATAGGTTTCCGATAGTCGACTATCGATACCCATAGCTTTTTGATAGTCGACTATCGATAGTTTTTTTTTTACTATCGATAGTTATGCACCACTAGAGCGAACACAGGTGCCGCACCGCCGCTCATCCCTTCCTCCTCTTCTCCCAAACTCCCGTCTTCGTCATCACTGAAAGCTGAACCAAAGTTGAGATGGTAAGGCTAGTTGGTGTCCCATTTGAAAAAGAATAAAGGGAGAAAAAGAGAAGAGGTACGACAGTACTATCGATAAGTTTATGATAGTCGACTATATAGTTTTCCGATAGTCGATTAACAATAATTTTCGGATAGTCCACTATCGATAGTTTTTCGATAATGGACTATCTACTATCGATGTTTTTTTTTTTTTTTTACTATCGATTGTACTATCGATAGTTTTGCACCACTAGCGCCCGCGCTTTGCTTGAGCACATATTTTCATACCAGAACCTGAACCGGTGGCTTTTTCAACTAGCCTATTTAGTTGGTGTGGCTGTGTCTTCTATGGGGCGCGTTCGGTAGCGGCTCCCTCGGCTCTGAACAACGTTACTCGAGTCAAAGTTTTTGGAGCGCCTACTGAATGGCGATAAAAGTATGGCTATTCAGCTGCCTCTATGCAGTTGCTGGTTATTAAAAAAAAAGTGACTGTTGACATCAGCTCCGCTGTTTAAAGCGAGGGTATACTTCAACAAAATTCGAAATATACCCGCCATGTTTAGAAATGGCTGAATGTGATCCACAGTATCCGTAAATGACAATCTCACGTTTGTATTTTGAGCCTGATGGCTGTATTGTTAAAAGAAAGCCTAATCTGGGACGCGCTCGAGAGCACGTCGCATCCGGCGCAATCGTGACGTAGTTTGTCTTTGGATGAGCGAAGCTGCGGCGAGAGTGACGTCCCAATGTCTTAGCCGGTTCAGCCACCAAAGCGGTCGAAGCATTCCAGCGATCCGGCCACCGCAGCTAAGTGCAAAGTTTTTTTTGTGTTAATTTTGAATGACTGGTTAATATTCTATTGTAGAGGGAGAATAGAGACCTCTGGGACAACAGTCGAGCGAGGAGCTCCACCCTCCCCTCTTGTGCTCGCCGTAGAGCTGTCGGAAGGACATCGTGCTCGAAGCATGTATACACCCAGGGTTGGGCAGAAATACCCAAAAATGTATTTGGAAATACAAATACTGGGATACATTAAAATGGTAGGTAAAATACTGATACTGAAAGGAAATATATTACAAATAGAGGCAAAAAGTCTGGAAATACAAATACAGGAATACATTTTAGGGAGGGCACAAATACTGTTACTGCAATACATTTTTCACATTTGTTTGAGATGCCAACTGAGGTGAAGTTTAAAGTGGAAGTTTTTGAACCCGAAATTGCTTTCCAGTGGGCTTGGCACTTTGCCTTGAAGTTAGTGGTTTTGGACGACGAGGAGTCTTCAATGAACTCAAAACAACGTTCCATCAACCATCAAGGACTGACCGCGGTCCCTTCCCTGACATCTTGTCCGTCTGACGAGGGATGCGAAAAGACTTCCACCTCTAAATAAATTCTATGTTACCTTAAATCCGATCAAAACGTCACCACACCCCTGTCCAATAACGACGCCCCTGTCAACATTGATCACATGACGTCACGGTGGAATGAACTGGTATTCTTTATCTGTAGGTGGTGGCCTTGAACGTGAAACTTCACCACGCTGCTATATGAAAGGACAATACATACTTTAGTTGCGGGTTACCTCGTTGAAGATCGTGCAGGCAGTACCATTTGGAATTTTCGAGAATGGTGGGCTACTTGAAGCATCCTAGAACAAGTTATCTTTTGTTACGGTTGAAAACACGATACGGTGGCATTCCTGTTGGGAAGGTCCTTCCTGCCGACCCTCCGCCACCGACGCATGGATTGCAATCCTCGGGTTTCGCCTAGCATCATCCAAACAGAGACCTCGTGGATTGTGACCTGATAATGCCGGCACAGGTGCGAGCTCTCCGAGAAACAGCGCGTTCGAAACGAGTTGCCATTGTACGAAGTCTGGGTTGGCACAGCGAGGCCACGTCTGGTCTCGTCCTTCCTGGGTTTCGGATCACCAGAGCAGCAGGTCACGTTCACGTGAGCCGTGCAATATTACAGGTGCAGCCGCAGATGCATTCGAATGACACATTCGAATATGTGTTAAACTTCACTGCGTGAGTCATCCTATTTCAAGTCAACGACCACCAGGCTCGTGATGCAACGGACTATGGCTCAGCTTTGCCGGCTGGGTGTACTGTGTACGCTAAGGCAAGTAAGACGTTTATAAGTGGATATTGGATGCCAGCAAACAATGACTCCAGAAATTCCTCTAAGGACCTGCGGCAGAAGATGCTGTGACTGCACTTCTGGCACGCCACCTGGTTCGAGTCCTTGACTACGCGACACTTCTCAGAAGAGAGAAGAAGATGCATATAAAATAGTTTGGACAGTCGTAAGGAACCTTGGTGAGCATAATAATAATGCCCCAACATCTCCTTGACCCTAATGCCCCAAAAAGTAAAAAAAAAAAAAAAAAAAAAAAAAAAAAACGTGTTCGGACTTTTTGTCTTTTTTTGTGGGGGGGAGGGCGGTATTTCTTAAAAAATGTAACGAAATACATTTCATTCTGGTTGTATCGCGATAGAAACATTCAAAATGTATTTCGATACAGGAATACAGATACTGGTGAAAAAAATGTTTTGCGATACAGAAATATAGATACGAAATGCATTTCTGAAATACTATCGCGATACATTTACGTTGCGATACTGCCCAACCCTGTATACACCAACTCGTGTTTACAAACAAACCGGAGCGGCCCTAGCAGATGCCACCGGCGCCGCGATGGAGTGTGGGCAAAAAGCTTGCTGTCGACCGTAAACAAACCATCGGAATGTGACGTCTTACTGGCAATGTCTGACTACTGTAGCGGCCTCAGCGAAATAAATGAGGCTCGTTACACCGCGAAACTTCGCTTGAAGAATGTGACATGCAGTGATTCATTCCGCGTGGATGCCGCAGAATGGACGCTAAAGCCTGATTCGCAAGCTGCGATTCTGCTCGCTATTTTCAGTCATGACGTCGCTCGGGCTGCAAAAGCGTGAACCGGAGCTGAGATGTCGCCGTCGATATTGAAAATTGCAAGCACCAAGTGAATCGGGCATAAGTC